TACTAAATAGAAAATAGTAACAAATGGTTGGATCTGACCTGGTTATCTCTGCTTACTGGTATAATTACTCTTCACACTGCTCACTGGTATAGACACTGGTATAGTCACTGGTTTGTTAGGTCTCCGAATTCCCGAAAAACTGATGGTTTAGTCACTCGCGAACCGAAGGCCTAGCTCGAAGGACCATGAAGAAGGTTGTACAGGGAGAGAGTTTTATAAATATTCTGGTAAATGGTTTATTATGGTATAAATGGTGAATGGTATAAACTGGTATAAAGAATACGCGGTATAAATAAATGGTATGGTTATGGTTAGACGGTGGCGAGTCGCGTACTGCCTCAAATTAGGCATCAAACGTACATATGTACGTTAGTGTAATGTGCCTATGATGCACAAAGTGACAATGTCGCTGTTCGGTTGCGTAACTCCGAACACGGCGTATCATTTTGCTCGGTCCCGCCTGCAACGTCGTGTTGAAAATACCAGCGTTGAATACGAATACTAGACATTGTTTTCAACTGCGCTATCCATTTTTTAAATAATAAAAATAAATCATCAGTAATTTCTTGATCCCATTTAATCCCTATTTTCCATATATCACGTAATAAAATTTTCGATTTTATCATAAAAGGTCCTAAAAAAACCATGTATATCATGAATGGACATTACGATACGAAGAACTTCACGTTTGGTTGGTTTTCGTATTAAGTTTAATACATCACTTGGTATGCGGTTCAATGATAGATCGAATCCAAAAGAGTCCTCAGCAGGAAACCATAAGAGACCTAGTGTACGCTCGCATTGAGACTCGATATTAAATCTTATTGCCATATCGCTTAAAGTCTCTTTTGGCATATTGTTAAGAACTTCCGATTTGTTTACTTAACCAATTACGCATTACGAACCCACCCTGGAGGTTAATATAAGAAACTTCTCTTATCATTTTTGTGGCTCTGGCGATGTCCGGTAAACTATCAATGAAATCGTCCATATACTGATTTTTTCGTATACTGCATAACATATAACTGCATCAAAAATTACTGTTTCGAACCGCAAAGTATTTTTATTTTGATTTATGTATTGCGCAATAAATGGTGAACAATTTGCACCAAAAATTAACGAAGTCATAACATACTTTTTAATTGGATAAACAATATGCGAGGAAGACATTTTATATCACCAATAATACCGACAGGGTTTTCTCTAAATCTTAACATTATTCCTAACAATGACTGCAACAAATCAGGTCCTTGCAGAAGAAAATCATTTAATGAATATCCTTCAGACTTCGCTGCCGCATCATAAACCAAACGCAACTTATTTTTGTTTGGTTTATCAACACCAAAGTGCAGCAAATACCATACATGTTCATTATGGCACTCATCACTATCTAGTAGCTCCCTAGCGTATCCATTTGAAAATAAATATTTCATCCTCTCACGATATCGTGACGCGTACTCCTTATTGTTCATCATTTTTCTTTCGATTGACCTTAATCGGTAAAAGGCGTTAGGATATGAATCAGGCATTATAAAATTATCGGATTTCCACGGCAAACCGACATACCACTGACCATTAATTAATTCCGCAGTATTATCTAAAATGTCTTATATCTTATAAAAATCTTATATCATCGTGATTACGCCGCGGCTTCGAACTAGTGTTCTCGAGACAAGGACGGCAAGATATTGTTTCTACCGTGTGTAAATGAAACACCGACTGCGTAGATCCTACGTAATAATTATCAGTGCAATCAGGAGAAAAAGAGACAAAGCGATCAGTGCAAGTAGTATCACTTAGCATGTTTCCGTGTATACACCATCCGAGCGCCGTTTGTGTTATGTACGGCTCACGCCGCTTACCTCGGAAGTAGCGGACAGGAGTAATTAAATGATGATTATCTTGACCAATTAACAATTTTGGGCAAATTTAATTCATTTATTTTACACGGAAACTAAACTTTTCGTTATAGCAATTAGAGACACTGACACTTACTTAATATACTTGTGACTCACACACTAGCTCGCCTGAGTCCCATGCACTGCGAGCGCGCATAATAACGTTCTCGCCCTGCAATCCTAGCTCGTCTGCGATGTCAGCTGATATCAAGGTCACGGTCGCTCCATCGTCCAGTATGGCATGCGTATGTAAACCTCCGTTGGGCCCGTGAACAGTGAGCGGCACCGCTTTCAAAAGCACCTTGTGACAGTGGGATGCCACCATATGAGTCACTGTTTCAGGGCTGGGATGCTCATCCTCCTCTTCATTCTCAGTTTCGGGTTTTTCATTTTGTGGCTTACTCCAGTGCAGCAAACGATGATGGGGTTGATTACAGCCCTCTATCTCACAAATAGTGCCACGGCAAGCTACTAAATTCGTGCGTTTATTTGTGCGTGCGAATCGCCACCGGTCTTTGCGTAGGGCGCGTTTAAACCGAATACAGTTTGATAGACTATGTACACCTCTGCGGCAAAATTTACACTTCATATTATTCTCACATTGATTATTTGTATATAGCAATACGGGTGAGTGTTGTTTACGTTCATCGAGCTTTTTTTTGAAGTTGTGTTGAGTATTAATATGGCTCACTCCTGATGTAGCTATCTTAGTGGCTTCTTCATATAAAAATGTACTCAATAATTCCAATTTCGGTAGATTACTCTCTCGGCGTTCATAAATATAATCCGTCCACTTCGTGACAAGTAAAGTTGGAAACTTTGAGACCACAATAGACACCAATTCTGGGCTACGAAGATAATCGTTCTGCTGTATAGCTTTTGCAGCTGTCACATATTTTTTTATTTTAATTGAAAAATTTATTATTTCATTGTGGTAAGATAATGGTAACGGGTATAACTTTTTTAGCTGTAGAACTATTTTACTCATGATAGTTTCAGGTTTGCCAAATCGAAGTTCCAAAGTGTCAATTATCAAATCAGGTGACGTTTGACCAATCAAAAGGGATGTCACTGCTTCTTTGGCTTCGCCACGAAGACACTTGCGTAATCGCCATACATTTTCTGTATCACTGTATTTACACAGCTTGGTAGATTCTATGTATGCCTGTTTAAAATGTAACCACTCCATTGGATCGCCAAAAAATGAAGGGAAGTCTTTAGAGGTTGCTAGCCTGGTTAAAAGCTCTTGGTTCTGCGCTTTATATGATGAGGTGGTCACTGCATCACGTAGGGCATTTGCCAGCTTTTCAATGCTGGATCTGTCACGACAGCAATCTTCTTGATGCTCCACTTGCTGGCCCACTGTATTATCGAGCCAGTCTTCTACTTTGCTGTTAGTAGATTGAGAAGCAGACTTACTGGAACGGCGTGATGTAGACTCTAACTCTGCCATCTCGGCTGCTAGCTTTTTGTTGAGCAGCTCGGACTTAATATTTGCCTTAATCTTCGCAGCATTAATTTTGGCTTCCGCTTCAGCTTCAGCTAGTTCCATATCAACAGCGGCCTTAGCTTTAGCAGCCTCCAACTCCAACTGCCGTTTACGTGCGGTTGACGACGTACATGAGGTTTTCAGAGACTTTTTGCTTATACTACAAGCACTTGGGTCTTTTGCAGTCATTTCAGGCTCATCATCCTTCAAACTACATGAAGGAAAAACATCCTGCTCGTTCCTTTTACGCCGCCACGTGTTCGCTTCTTCTTGAATATATATATATAGACGTATGAATGAACGACCTATAATAGGCGTAAGAAACATTTCTGTTACCGGTTTGCTTGTCGACGACGTGATGATTCGGCCGAAGGACCACGATGTGGGCGAAGTAGGTTGCTGGTGTCGTCAGGTGGCAAATCAGAAAGGAGAAATTCGGTGAGCGCGTATACATCCGCGAGGAGAGTGTCATATGAGCGTCCCCGTATGATGTCTAAGTGCAACTGACTAGGCTCGCGTCAACGGTCAAATTCAACGGCTGTGCAACAAAGTACAGCTACCTTCAATTTATTTTTAAAATATGATAAACCCTAAGCGCGCGAAATACAAATCACCGTCCTCGTATGTCTACGCCATTTTATTAATTTAAATTCAAGAACAAATACGTAAAGGTGACAAAATGTAAGTAGTTAACTTAAAGGTAAGTAATTATATATGGTATATGACTGTAGTTATAGTACAAACCAAAAGCATTTAATTTTGTTGCTAAATTAAATCAAATGTTTATATAAACTAATTATAATTATTTTATATTTCAGGTGAAGCAGCGTGGCCGTCATCAACAGCCTATAAAAATTCGGCCGAGTATCATTAATTTTGCTCCTAAGAATTGAAGAGTCCCGTTACTTTGTCATGAGTCCCAAAATCAGAACCTAACCAAAGTCTCATCTAACTAACCCTTGAAGGACATCCTTTCCTTTAAAAAAAGAAACATTGAATTTGGTTGGCGTGATATTGAATTATTCGTCCAGTTGTCGCGCACATACTTAATGGAAATTTAAAATTTATATCGATTTTCATGGATGCCATTGTCACAACTACCAAGGGGTAGTACACGGAAAGCATCAACTTTCAAATAAAAAAAGAATCATCAAAATCCTATTTGATTCCCTTTATCCAATATCTTTATTCCAATCATGACAGAACCTTTGCTCCTTTAAATTGTTTATAGTGCTAATCTTTGCACTTAAGATTGAACATTAAAATATGTAGAAAAAGTGCGAAAAGATTGTCGCCGCTGTGGGAATCGAACCCACGTCTTCGGCATTCGCGGCCTGACGCTCTAGCCACTGAGCTAAACGGCTGATTACCACACCGACGAAAATCTTAACGCATTCTTCCACATTGTTTTCTTAGCATTTTGAAGCAATACTTGGCGCCATCTATTGTTATATCCTTTACAGCATACAAACAACTTCGAATATCGTTTTACAACGATAATTCGAACGAGAGATGTCGCCATTGCTTTTTTTAGAAATTTAAATTGTTTATAGTGCTAATCTTTGCACTTAAGATTGAACATTAAAATATGTAGAAAAAGTGCGAAAAGATTGTCGCCGCTGTGGGAATCGAACCCACGTCTTCGGCATTCGCGGCCTGACGCATTCTTCCACACAATGTGGAAGAACACGTTAAGATTTTCGTCGGTGTGGTAATCAGCCGTTTAGCTCAGTGGCTAGAGCGCCAGGCCGCGAATGCCGAAGACGTGGGTTCGATTCCCACAGCGGCGACAATCTTTTCGCACTTTTTCTACATATTTTAATAATCAGTAGTTGTTGATATCGTATATTATTTATTTATGTATATTAATTAAGTATTTGTGAATATTATAATATATGTATTCTATTTTGAATGCTTAATAATGTAATATATTTCTGTTGTATTGGGTTTAATATGTTTATATACTTTATATATTTTCATGTATATGTTTTAAATCAAATTATATATGAATATGTATATAACTTTAATTTTGACTTAAAATTTGATTTGAAACTTTTTACACCTGCCTCTTTCGTCTCTGCGTCGCCCATAGGTTGACTGGTAGCGAATGCCTTAGGCATTAAGTCCTAATACACAATACTAATAAATAGGTAAAATAACTAGTATCCGCAATATGTTCATTTTGTGGTGTACTACAAGGTAACATTCTCGGTCGTACATTATTTTTACTCTATATAAATGATATTCATAACCTATAAAAAATGCCGACATACTTTGTTACGCCAACGGCACTTCAGTGATTTTTCACGGTATCTTCTCTAGTCCAAACGGGTTTGGCGGTCATCTATTAACGGTTAGGACAAAATATTCTCACCCTCAATACAAAAAAAAACAACTTACTTATGGTATCATAAAACCTCCGCTTCTGCCTCGAAAAATGACACCAGAATTAAAATTCATGATATTGAATGCAACATGAATTATCCCTGCCTCTGTGAATTATTGACACAGGAATCCGACACGAAATATCTTGGAGTTCATATTGAAGAAAACTTTAGGCTCAAAAAGCATATACAAACATTGTCGGGTCGAATCGAAAAAGTCGTTCACATAATGCGAAATTGGCGCAACCTAACACCTGTCAATACCTTGAAGACTATGTATTATGCGCTTTGCCATTCCCTCATAAGCTATTGTATAAAATGATGGGGTAGTGCTGCAAAAACGCATATTATTCAAGCGGAGAGGGCGCAGCGTTCTGTACTTATAGCAATGCTACACAAACCGTATACCAGACCAGCCAACTGTTCGCGGACGCAGAAGTATTAAGTGTTCGACAGGTCTACATTTTGTAAGTATCCCTTTCGGAGGCTCATCAGTAGTATATAGTCATTTTATATATAACAATGTTACAAAATATGGAAACGTAGAAGAAAAAACATCCAAAAAAGTAAAATTGTTATTAACTAAATGGCTCAATTCCCTTACATATGATGAACCTAAATAATAGGCATTATTTAAATATTTTTTTATATATTTTTAAAGAAAGATCATCAGATATTAACGTGTATGTAAATGTATATAATATATATGTTTATTAATATATGTCTGTATATATGTATATTAAAATATATATTTATATTTAATAATTATGTTTTTTTTCTTTTATAACTATGTTTGTGCACCTACCTCAACTTCTCAGTACCACTAGTCTGCCTAGGTACTGTTTTGTGCATGAAGTTTAAAAACAAATAAAAAAATGAATATTTACATTACCTATATATATTTATAAAATATATATTATATACATTACATATTACAATTAATGCATTTAATTAGGCTTTTTATATTAAGTCTAGTTCAGATATAAGTATCTTGATTTTTTATATGTATTCGCAATTCTAATCTGCCCATTATATACGAATAATTATGTCATTTCGTATCTGTTTCCTCGATACAGGCATGCCTAGTGAGAAAACTAATGGAAATCATATTTATACTGAGTGGTTCAATCCGTCGTCAGCAATTTTTTTTTGTTATATTCTTATTTGTCGTAACAACTGTGCTATATTTATTATTTTGCTATAATAAAAAGATTTTTCATTTTCATATTCATTAACGGCAAAAGGTAGTTTTAAGAATTTATTTCCGATAAGCGCCAATTGCATCCAACAATAATTGTCTATTAACCTAACAGTTTGCGCGTCCAACAAAGACATCTTTTGAATATTTACTTTTACCACCTCGAAAAGTGATATAATTTTGTATTCATTTTTATAAGGCTCGAGATATCATAGCGCCTACAAACTTATTATAGCAAAGGAAATATAAGCAGATCTTTGCTATAGTACTTATGATAACATAACACATCTATACAAAATGTTCACTCTTAATAGGTGTGCACAATTTAAAAAAGGATTTATTATGACTCCTCATTAGGGAATTAGGTCGTACAGCTATAATACATTATCAGTTTCCGCTGGCGGCTTTGCACGCGTTATGTTGTATTTTAAATAGTACCTATAAATTTTTTGTACCTGTAAACTGATTCAAACAAGAGCGACCCTGGTATTATTAACAGATTGCGCGAAACTGACTCTCTAACAGTCTATATACAATTGTGTCAATACCATCCTTGAAATAATAAACTATAAAACAAACTTTCATTGGCCATGACCACCTCTAAAATCTGAAAACCCGTATTGACGTTCTTACCTTTATTAAAATTATACTCCCATAGCAACGAATCGAAAGAATAGACTGCAACGGATACTGCAGTATGCTTTAATGTTAATCAGAACACCAGAACTTAAGAAAAAATCTGTAGGCGATAGATGTTCAGCATATTATTTTTGGTTATTTAGAATGGAAAAGCTCTCTTTTTTTTTTGGACCATTATCAAACAAAAATGTCATCAGCACATATCGATAGCCATTATTGTTCAGCAGAAGAGTACAAAACGGTCTGAGCAGTAGACCTCTACTCGTACATATTATTAACGCATCGACAGCGTAATGTGTACCGCTGTCAACATTTCATTGATATTTCTGATTATTCCTTGTTGGCGCTGGCAACACTATATACCGGATATGACGTTATCTACTCGAGCCAAGGGACACATGGTCGCATGTAGCAGCGGTCACTTGGATTTCGGCCGCGTTCCCGGACGGTGATATAACCACTAGTGCTGCTTGTCGTTATAATAGTTGTTAATATTCAAGTTCAGTAATAGTTAAAATATGAGGATCAAGGTAAAAACGTTACAACTCTTATACCCTGCATTTTAGTCTGGTATTTTTTTTTTCATTGAAAAATTTAAATTTACTACAGTTTCCTCAATATTATCACAAAACATTTATTTTTTTGTGGTTATAGTGAATATTTTTATAATTATGCAGTTTAGGCTTTTGCTAGTGTTAAATTAGTACAAACAACTATAACTGTCAAAGTTTTCCTGAAATAATTTCCACAATGCTGAGTGCATGTCTTTTATTGTCTGTCTACTTGTCTCTATGAAATCGAGATTCACACCTCTGGAACGAGTTCTGGTCGCGATTTCGAGCTTTTTATTCAAATACATATATGAGAGTCATATCTCTAATTTTCAGTGCTGTATGTAAAAGTATAGTTCAAAATTTGATAAAGCTTGAAATTTGTTAAGAAATAATTTGTTTTTCTTTTACACTTCACGTTATCAATTAAGAGCACAAACAAAGTTCATTGACCCTTGCAGGCAACGCGCAAAATCTCCCACTCCGCGCGTAAAAAAAATACAAAGTAGTATTTATTTGTTGATAATGTGCGATGCACATCACAGACTCGTCAGCCGCCGTGCCCAACGCTCATCCTACAGTTAAAAAAAGTTGGACAAGTTGGACACATACTACGTGTGCATTTTTAAAATTTGTCATAGTGTATATATTTGAAAAATAAGATAAAATATTAAGTAATGCCGCATAATAGTAAGTAATTGCCGCATCCGTAATTGTTTATCCAGCATATAACGATGACATGGTATTTCTTCTAATAACCCTACACTTAAATAAAGCTGGACATCAGTGGAAGAACGCATAGTACGTGTGCATTTTTACGTACTATCAATAAAATTAGGAAGCCTATTGTCCGCCATGGTGCAGGTGAAAGTGGAACAGGGGGTGCTGGAAGGCGAGGAGCTGGATGTGGTCACAGGCGACAAGCGTTATTTCAGCTTCAAGGGCATCCCCTACGCCGCACCGCCCCTCGGTAAACTGAGGTTCAAGGTAAATATAGATTATAATTCCCTCTAAAAATATTTTTCGCTTTAACATTATAATAAAAACCCGGAAAAATTATTCAACTTAAACTCTTAAATATTATTTTACAGACATTTGTTATAGGTGCCTTGATGTTTTGTTTTATTAATTATAATCTACCTGTTTTTTATTTTTTTTTTAAAAAGAGTCTATATTAAAAACTAGGCAATATTATCACCATTTAAACGGCCCGCTTACTGATATTTTTAGATTAGCAGATTTGTCAGCAAAAATATCTAAACTATTATGTATTTTCGCCGACAAGGTAATCAAGAACATATCATAAGATATCACAACAACTTTTAGCTTATTTTTTTACTGGCCGAAAATTAAAAAAAGTTTAATTTAATTACTTTACTTAAAATAACGAGTCTCTCACTCGCAAGCCATCTCTCTCTCTCTCTCTGAGACTCTGAGCCACACCTGATTTCGCAAACAAGAGGTCAAAGACCCAAAGTATACAATTTATTAAGGTACTGAGAGCCGTTCCCATGGCCGTTGGCCTCTCAAATCAGTTGACACAGTATCCAGTCTCACGCGGTTTCGGTGGATTTCTTTTGATTTGGTAGTATAAATATTTGTTATATTTCTACTGTACATCTTATTTTAAATATTTAACCAATCTGAATCCAAAAATTTAAATGTGAAATATATTTATAAATTAATACTCCATTACATAAAAACAAAAATTCTACCTTTTTATAAAAAGCTAAATAAAGCTTAATATAAACACATAATATAATATGTGTATATATTATATATTGTACATCTTTACTAATATTAAAAAGGCGAAAGTTTGTATGTATGGATGGGTGTTTGTTACTCTTTCACGCAAATACTACTGCATGGATTTTAATGAAACTTTACAATAGTATAGCTTATACATCAGAATAGAATATAGGCTATAATTTATATATATATCTTATGCATATCTGTCTTAATGTTACGCATTCAGCCTATTCAACGCAGACGTAGTCGCGGGTAGCAGCTCGTTATTTATATATGTAGTATAGGTATACGAAGTATGAGGAATTAAGTTATCTTAATTTTATAATATGACGCCTTGAGATAATAATTTTTAAAGGTTTGGTTCTCGTTGTCTTGGGTCGATGTCGAGGTCGAGGGCGATTTCAACACAACTTAGTTTAAGTTTATTCGTTTATTTACGGATCTAAATGCAATAAGAGTACCATGTGGTACTAACCAAATGTTTGTCATTTAACAAACATTTAAACAACTATATGGCCTGTGGCACGTCAACTATTTTTTGTTTTGTTGGACACGAATAGATTATGGCCAAGGTGAACATTTGACCACATACCGCATAGTAATAACCATATTATTTATTTTCAACAGTATGTTGTGTATACTATACACTAAAATTTTATTACGATTCAACTACCGATTTACAGGCCCCTCAACCGCCAGAGCCATGGAAAGGAATAAGGAAAGCAACGGAACACGGACCGGTTTGCATCCAAAGAGATATTTTTACAAATCTATTTATACCCGGAACGGAAGATTGCCTCTATTTGAATGTTTACACACCAAACCTTAAACCGAAAAACTTGTTGCCCGTCATGTTCTTTATACACGGCGGAGGCTACAAAAGTGGCTCAGGGAACGTCGACTTCTACGGACCCGACTTCCTTGTTGCTCAGGACGTGGTCGTTGTAACTATTAACTACAGGCTCGAAGTGTTGGGATTTCTCTGCTTGGAGACGAAAGAAGTACCCGGTAATGCCGGATTAAAGGATCAAGTGGCTGCTCTGAGGTGGGTGAACAGAAATATTAGCAACTTCGGCGGTGATCCAGAGAACGTTACCATCTTCGGTGAGAGCGCAGGGGGCGCAGCCACCGCACTCCACGTCTTATCGCCAATGTCGAAAGGGCTCTTTAAGAGAGCAATATCAATGAGTGGTGTACCGTTCTGCGATTGGTCTATCCCATTCGAACCCAAACGACGTGCTTTTGTTCTCGGAAAGCAACTCGGTCTAGTAACTACAAATACAGAGCAGCTCCTAGAGTTTCTTGAAAATGTTCCGATTGAAAAACTCGTTGATACTAATCCAAGTATACTGATTTCCGAAGATACGAGCAACCTTTTTAAATTTTATCATTTCACACCAGTCGTAGAAAAAGACTTCGGTCTTGACCATTTTCTTACGGAAGATCCCGAAGAGGCAATGAAAAATGGCCACGTTAGTAGTGTAGATGTAATGATTGGGTATACTAGTGATGAAGCATTAATTGGTCTGAAATTTCTTGAAAGCAGTTTAATCAAATACTATAACAGGTACCACGAATCATTGGTGCCGCGTAAAATATTACTAAAGTGTACTCCGGAAGTAATCCTACAATTATCCGACCGAATCAATAAGTATTACTTTGGAGAAAAGCCAATCAGTGTTGATAGCATGAAAGAGATTGTCCAGTATCTTTCTCACTCGTGTCTTTGTCGAGATATACACAAATACATAAACCTTTTACCCGAAACTGGACGAAAGAAGTACATGTACAAATTTTCTTGCATTTCGGAGAGAAGTATTTTTGGCAATGAAGGCGCTAAATATGGTTTAGCGGGTGCAGCCCACCTCGATGATCTCATGCATTTGTTCGACCCGAAGCAGTATAAACTACCAGTGAACAAAGAGAGTTCAACGTACAAAATGATTTTACAAACATGTTCCCTCTTCACGAACTTTGCGAAATTTGGGTAAGTGAATAGTAAACAAATAAAAATAAATTATTTTAGTACTCTTGGTTTCAAAAGGAGAACTTATGTGTATACCACGGTTTACGGTTGTATGGCCACGCTTACGGTGGTAGGGCCACGCAGCAGCCTCGGCTGTTGCACGAATGGGCAGGCCCGTCCGGGTAAGTACCACGACCTCACAGAAGACCAGCATCAAGTGGGAGTATGACAAATACTTTTGCGTTTCGTCTGGTGAGTGAGGTAGCCGGAGCCCCATCTTCAAAAGGTTGTCGACGCATCTGTAACCCTCGGGTGTGGCAGATGTCCATGGGCAGCGGTTTTCACTTAACATCAGGTGAACCGTCTGCTCGTTTGACAACTTTTCGCATAAAAAAAAGTGTATACCAATTTTTAATGAAAATTCCAGCGATTTCATCTAAATCACAAATTAAGCCTATAGTTTACACACAGCAGGACTTTATTATTTTCTCTGTGTATTAATTATTATTTCCTTATTCCAATGACATTTTTATTATTGAGTACTTTCTATCACCGCCGAGATTATCCATCAAAGTTCTAAACTAGGGCTGCCTTGAACGAATTCAAAGTACAAATAAGTTGAAATGTACTAAGAATTCCTATAAATAAACAAAAAACGAATACATTCTTCTTCCAGTAACCCGACTCCTGATTCATCACTGGGAGTGATTTGGCCTGAATACGTCGCTTCTTCGGGAGATTATCTTAACATAGCAGAGGAGTTGACGGTGGGGACGGGGCTTGATGCCGAATTTGTAGCATTTTGGAACAGTATCTACGAATCGGCAGGATTGATGTAAGCTAAGAATTTAATGAGTAATAAAGACATAAAAACATATCGCATCTTTTTCTTCTTGTACGCGTAATTCAGAAACGAAACCTCGTATGAGCGAGGCACAGGTAGGTCACAATATTACGTTATAGTCCAATTTCATCACCATTCTAATGAAACAAAATTTGTTTGACCAGCCTATACATGTCCCACTGCTGGGCTAAGGCCTCCTCTATACAGTGGATATCAGGGCATAGTCCACAACGCGGCCCCACTGCGGGATTGGCGGACCTAATAACAAAGAGAAATATAATATACGAATTACCTGGATCACGAGGTGACCGATAGGTGGAGTAGTGTGCTGACCTAAATGATCCCGATAGTCGTTTCCGCGAACAGGTAAAACCCAGTCTCTCCGAACATCTGAGGCGACTGCTATTTAGAAAAATGGATGCGCCAAGAATTGATTCTTCTCGAAGGGTTCGATTCCCAAAGCTTTTCGTACTTTTTCTTCAAAATTTAATGTTTAATCTTAAGTGCTCTCTGCTCTTAAGATAATAAATGTGTTAATTTTCGGTTTGTCAATGATCTCATGTGGCGATTTCTCCTATGTTGGACAAATTTAAAGACCAATAAAGAAGACCAAAGTAAAGGAAGACATGGCTGATGGGCACTACCAACGGTTGAAGAATTCAAAGTACAAGTGGGCAACCATTAAGTGATAACTGCATCTATGACCACCCCTGCTCGACCTCCCAGAAAATCGCAGTGTACATAAAATTTAAATGTACTAAGACTTCATATAAATAAAGGGGTGTCTCTGTGGTGTCCCCGCACATAAAATTGTTTTTAAAAGTTTATGCCCTAGGCTAAAAAAATATATTTGATTTTTTTTAAAATACGCGCACACCGACGGTCTCGATGAACTAGGTTGCAAAGCAACCAACTTCGAGTAACTTCATGGTATTATTACCATGGCAACCATTAACAACTTTTTGACATTAACATATAATTGCAAGTTATCTAATTAAAGCGTTATCAATTGCGTTTAATGTCTTTATCACAAACAAAGACTAGCAAAGGCGTTATTTTTCTGTTGTTCCGCTTAACTATAAAAAGTATAACAATACGAACGACCATGAGCCTGCCTGTGTCATAAAAGATTCAACCCATCTTTTTTATGCATTACTTCTAAATATTAAGTTCCAAACCAAAAGGTATATTTTCCGCTGTTGACCTAGTAAAAATGGCCAAGACACAATCATGTTCCGCACGAGTAAGACTTACTTGATTTTTCCCGTACGCACACGGTAATATGATCTGACCACAAACAACGGTTGCAGGAAGAAGAACATAACCGTAATAAGCCCCATCAGTCTTCTTCAAATAATTCTGTGCCGATGAAACTACCTGACATAAAGTTGCCCAGCTTCGACGGGTAGCAGGAGTTTCGTAACTCATACGTAACAATGATTCATTCGCGTAATGATTTCAATTCAAAAGTCTCATTATTTAAAATCCTCTCTTAGCGGCTCTGGCTTACAAGTCATTAGCGCACTAGAATTTACCGCACCTAATTACATTAATGCCTGGGAATTTACTAGAGAATAGGTTTCATAACAATCGATTATTGGTTTAAAATCACGTAAAATTCCAACGATTTGTAAGGAATCCCCGTTCCAAATTATGAAGGTTATTGATTCAACGTTGCGTAATTTACGTTCGTTATAATCTTTACGCGAACCTACCGAGACGTGGGACACTATTATTATTTATTTAATTGCGTCCAAACTCAACCCGTCTACGGAACAGGTAATCACAGGGGACTTTATTATGTGACTCCCGCAAGGAATCGCAAAGTTCAAAGTTAGACGATTTACTTACATTTTTAAAAAATAGATCAGATATACTAGAAATCATAAGAAGTAACAATAATAAAATTTATAGTTCTACGCCATCCAAAGCAATAAACGATTCAAAGCAACTAGGAATAGATATATCTCCATATTGCCATCACTTAGTAAAATTTTTGAAAAATTAATTTTAAACCAACTATTGGTACATTTTAATATAAATCAAATTTTTCCGCTGGGACCCCTATGAAAATGGGTGTCCCACAAGGATCAATCTTGGGACCATTATTATTTTTAGTATATATTAATGATCTCCCCTTTTATGCCAGTGAGTTGTGTGATGTTGTACTGTTTGCTGACGATACATCGATAATTTTTAAGGTTGACCGAAATATATTAAATAAAGATGAGGTGAATAGTGCACTTTCGCATGTCACATTGATTGACGTCAAAGTTTTAGTTTAATATTAAATAAAGTACCCATTAATCCAGTTGAGTCTGCGGTATTTCTGGGAATTACAGTAGATTCAAAGCCCCAGTGGAGTCCCCATGTATCATCTCTTGCGAATAGGCTAAGCTCCGCGGTTTTTGCGATTAGAAGGGTTAGGCAGCTAACAGACATTGACACTGCCAGACTTGTTTACTTCAGCTATTTTCACACCATCGGATATTTTTAAAGAGATTAATATACTCACTGTGGCTTCTCAATACATTTATTGTATAACCTTAATTTTTACCTAAAGAATAGTGACAAACATAAATTAAACACTAGAAATAAAAACAAACTTACTACGCCATTGTTTCGCCTACAAAAAGTAAATAGGTCGTTCATGGGGCAAGGTGTGCGCATGTATAATAAAATCCCACAGTCGATATTAAGTCTGCCGCTTGATCAATTTAAACGTAAAATCAAAAGTCAACTTATGGTTAAAGCATATTACACGATTGCGGAATATCTCGACGACGCCAATGTGTGGAGTTAATACTGTTGGTACTCACGTAGGGTAGAATAAGACTATTATACCGGTATTTTATATTGTAAACTGATATCTTTGAAAAAGAGCAACTGTTGACTTTCTAGCCGGTCTCTCCTCAACAGAAACTGCTTTCCGAACCGGTGGTACCTTAAGAATCTCTATGTATAATGTTTTATGTAAAATTTGACGATTCATAAGAACGCGCAAGCGTCTATTTGAATAAAGGTTTTTGATTGATTGATTGAAAAAAAAGCAGTCGAGTGAAATTAATAAAAAAAACGCTTTAAGTCTCAATTGTATAATTACGTATTTACTCAGGGCAGGGATGGCAAACAAGAATTTTAAAAATAGTAAAATTAATAATAAGCAATCGCTTATTATATAGGGAATGGTTTCCGTGGCACATAGTGCCTAATGGGCACTATGTGGCACGGAACCATTCCCTATATTCGTGTTCTAATTTTATTAATTTCTCTGTGCATGATAGATTGAAATTAGGAAAAGAAAATGCGTATGTTCAACTGATCATCCAATAGATCAGTGTGTTTTCGGGCCCTGAAAATTATGTGAAAGAAATCACAATACATTATTGCATATAGATGACGGTTTAAAATCAAACTCGCATTCGTCGGCGTTGTTAGCCTTATGCGTAATGCCTTCGTGTTAAACTCGAATATAAAACCGGTTCTTTTGCCAACAGCGCTTGTAGTAATAGCTGATACGCAAATATATATATATATATATATATATATATATATCATAATAATTTCATTGCTTTATTACGGAAAGTTTATGTAGTACTTCGATAAATGTTAATATAGATTTATTAAACGAAAATTAGGATTACGTCAATGCGTTACGTCTAATGAAGACCTTTAATTGAGAAAAATTATTTCAAATACTACTGAACGTGATAGTCAAGGTAGGTTTTCCGTACAAATACCATTAAAAGAACCGCCCGCTTCTTTAGGAGTTTCTTGTATGGTTGTAAAAAATAGTTTTCTTTCTTTAGAACGTAAATTACAAAAGAGTCCTAACCTTAAACATTTATATTCTGAATTCATGCTTTCATACGGAGATTTAAGTCATATGTCTTCATTGTCGGGCCATATAACAAGTCATATTATTATTTATCGCATCACGTTGTTTATAGAGAAAGCAGTCTTACAACAAAGTTACGAGTTGTTTCTAACGCGAATACGGCGACAGGTTCTAATAAATCTTTAAATGATATTCAATGTGTAGGTCCGTCACTTCAAAATAATATATTTTCAATATTGCTACGTTTTAGACAGTACTAATATGTCGCACGTGCTGATATTGAAAAAATGTATCGCCAAATATTAATTCAACCTGATCAACGTAATTTTGCAGTTAATTTTGTGGAGGTAAAATTATGATATGCCCCTAGAAACATATTGCACTTTAAATACAGTAACATACGGTATATACGCTGCTTAAGGCAATTAACACACGAGTGCAGCGATGACGTAGTTGGCTGCGTCATTAACGAAGATTTATACGTAACGATCTTTTTTTATGTGAAATGTTGCCGAACGAGCAGACGGTTCACCTGATGGTAAGTGAGATACCGCCACCGCCGAGATGCGTTGAAAACCTTTTGAAAATTGGGCTCCGGCTACCTCATGACCAGACGAAACGCGAAAGTATTTGTATACTTCCACTTTACGCTGGTCTTCTGTGAGGTCGTGGTACTTACCCGGACGGGCCTGCCCATTCGTGCAACAGCGTGGCACAAAATTATTTACGCTTACCTTTACTTACAATTACTTACACTATTAAAATCATAAGAACAAATTCTACACAGTACCTAGTATAAAGCATTAAGTCATATGACACCTAATTATTAAAATATCCAATTGTATATAACACGTGCTCAGCGTTGAAGGAAAAAACCGTGAGGAAACCTGCATATTTCCGAAATAATAACAAAAAAAATTTTTCAAAGATCTGAGAAGTCCGCTAATCCGCAGTGGTGGACTATGCCCTGAACCCTCTGTACAGAGGAGGCCTTTGCCCAGCAGTGGGACATATATATATATTTATTATATAATCGGAATCTCGGAAACGGCTCCAGCGATTTTCATGAAATTTAGTATGTGCGTAGATTCGGGGGCGAAAAATCGTTCTAGCTAGGTTTCGTTTTTAGAAAATGTCCTTTTATCCCTGTTTTCAGGGAATGAAAAATATCATTCGAATATGAGGGTAAATTTCACCGAAAAAAAAATTTATAATAGCTCGGTCGGTAATCGGGCGGCCCCGAAACAGAAGATTTACCAAAAAAAAAAGCAAGCCGGTCCTCCAGGTACTTATCAATAATGCATTCAATGATTCACTCCACGCATTTCCTTCTCACTCCTCTCTGAGGTATAGATTTGCAACGAGTCTTCTGAAGTTTTACGTCGCGCTTGTTTCCCACTTGTTCGAGAGGTGTTGACCTTGATTTTTTTAAATATAATAATAGTAGTAGTAGCGTTAGTAGTCAATGGTGGCACGGACCTGATTTCTTGCGAGAATCTAATTTATATTTTAAAAACAATAACTATGATTTTCGATTCAATCAATCAGGTTCTGTTATTGAATTCGAAAGATTCTCATTATTTAATCGTTTACAAAGAATGAGCGCATATTTATTACGTCTCATCCATAACGTGCGAGCCGGCCGAAGTAACTTTCCGCACCCCGCCAGCGCTGGCCGCCCCTGCAGCCCCCTCCCGGGGAGCAACTCCTCTAATCCGGGTAAGGCGCGATGGAACATTCAGCGCGTAATTTTTTAATTTCAGTATTTTTGACGTAGTAGTACTTTGAGGGACATTATACTTTCATGGAAAAATGTTTTCAAGTCTTACAAGTATATCGGGTCGGTACCTGGTTGTTATACTTGCGCGGAAATACCATAACATCTGTACATTAAACAGAGAGCTCTGAGGAGCGTTGCTGGATGGACCTATGCCGCTCATCTTCCGCTCAATGTTACGAAATATGTTCCGTATTTATTTATTATTTTTTAGAGAGAATTATAATTTTATTAGACCTTCGGAAACACGAAACTAAAATATATATGTATATACACATACTTCGTAATTATGACTTTCGCTTCAAATCTACTTATTAACAGTTGTTTTTTTTTATTTTCATAAATAATTACAACGAAACATTATTGTATTCGTTCAAGTTGAATGAAGAAGGTGGTGAACAATCTATCAATAAATAAATCAACCTTTGGTATTTAAATTTTTTAACTATTTTTTTATTAAAATATTTAAATTTTCATCCTTAAACGAAAATTTTTTATACACGAAAAACAATTGTTTTATGATTTTTTTCATTAATTTGTTATTGTGGTATTTTCCACGTTGAGCCATTTTAAAAATAAAAACAAAATAATTAATTGATTAATTGTTTTGTTTTTATTTCATATAAAAATTAGTGATGATGAGAAAAAATGAAAGTAATATAAAAAATACAACCCCACTTAATGGAGTTTTGAACTTGTGACTAAAGTTTTTGCTACGTGATGTCTGTGGAAAGTGACAAATTTCGATTGTAGTTATAATTGATGTCGTTTATGGATATAAGGATTTTATCGAGTTTTTTTAAATTTCATTTTAGTTGAGAAATTAATATACCGTAGTAAATCTTATACATTTAAAGGTTAAATTAAAATTCTTAACAAATCAAAAAAATATGTAATAAAAGAAAAAATTCATACTCGTAATTTCTGCAAAATTATTATGATATGGCTCATAAAAATTTTAAAATCACAAAACAAAAAATTAATCATTATTCAACTATTATTCTTTTTTTGTACAATTTAATTTGCCTTTATAAATTCCTTCTCTTGTTAATTAAAATAAATTAATAGGAAGAAGATTTTCTAAAATTTTGAATGCATTCGCTATATTTGTTTGTTTATTATTATTCCTATAATAATATAAAAGTAAAATACTATTGTGGTTTATAAAAGATACAGGGATCATCTGTGTATTTTCGAAAGCCTCCCATGATATATATTTATAGTATCCTACGGCACATCACTAATAGGTAATGAATGAAGGTCACGCGGCGCGTCGACGAAAATCGTGCGTAGCTCCCCGCACCAAGCTGGGTTACCCGTCCTCCGCTCCTCCCGCTTCACCACCCAAATAGTTAAAAATTCACACAGCAACTTAAAATAAAATTACTTATTTGAAACCCAGAAAAGTTTCTGAAACTATGCGTGGTAAAATGAACCCCGCACCGTGACTCTGATAGTTTTAGTACAAGGATTAATACACCTCGTTCTGCGGTATCGGAATGTATCGAGATAAATAAGTAACGCTGTCAACGTGTTAAGAAAGTGGAAGCTTCTTTCGTTTTGAACATCCGATGTAATAAACCCAGTAAATTTTTAGGTATTCGCAAGCAAAAACACAAAGCGTGTCATCCTTTCCGCAATAACTCGCATATTTGATCCAGGTGTGTTAGCTCCCTGTGTTATAATTATGAAAATTCTTTTGCAAAAATTGTGCTTGCAAAGGATGACATAATTAAGAATATATCATCGCTTAATTGCATCCGTATCCCCCACTGGGTCGTATGTAACCTTCATAAATCATTGGAATTGCACCTTTTATAGATGCCTCTGAACAGGCTTATGGTTCTTGTCAGTTTGTTCGTAGTTCAACAAGTAACGGTGAAGTTACTGATAGCCAAAATCCGTGTGGCTCCCACTAAGCCGGCTACAGTATCCAGGCCGAAAACTAATCGCCGAACGTTGAATGTGTATTACTATAGATATATATGTGTGTGTATGTATAAAGTGTATATATTTGACAAATAAAAAAATGTTAAGTAATGCCGCATAATAGTAGCAAGTAATCGCCGCATCCGTAATTGTTTATCCAGTAGATAACCATGACATGGTATTTTTTCAATCATATAAAGATAACCTTTTTTAATAAGTCGCGTCAATATACCCTCAAACGCAATATCTCAGATGACGCGGCGAAAAAACATGAAGTATTTATGTGTTGCTACCGTGCGATGACATTCACAGACGCGTCTGCCGCTGTACCCAACGCCCACCCTACACTTAAATAAAGCTGGACATCAGTGGAAGAACGCATAGTACCTGCGCATTTTTACATACTAGCAATAAAATTAGGAAGCCTTTTGTGCGCCATGGTGCAGGTGAAGGTGGAACAGGGGGTGCTGGAAGGCGAGGAGCTGGACGTGGTCACAGGCGACAAGCGTTATTTCAGCTTCAAGGGCATCCCATATGCCGCACCGCCCCTCGGTAAACTGAGGTTCAAGGTAAATAAATATCACTACGTCGAATAAAACTAAGTCGCCCCGGTGTCTGTCTGTCCCTATGTATTCTTAAATCTTTAAAACTACGCAACGGATCTCGATGCGGTTTTTTTTTTACTAGATAGTGATTCAAGAGGAAGGTTTAGATGTATATTACATTGCACCCGTGCGAAGCCGGGGCAGATCGCTAATAGATAATAAACCTCCTCTGAAAATAATTTTGGCGCAATAAAATATTTTCACGTTTTCTTTCGGATTATCTTAATGCTCCTTTGACAATCTAATTTTAAACCTGATAGAATTAACTTTTAGAAGAGTATTTTTCTTTATTTATTTAAAATGTGTTAATCTCGTCGTATGATATCACGACATGGTCCACTAAGCGTCCCCACTCCGCCTCGTCCTCATCCTCTGCCATGCTCGCTGATACCTCAACTGTAAATGAAACCGGTTGATTAAGTTAGAACTGAAGCTTAATTTCCCATGTCAACAATTTAAAATATATTAGTTTATTCAGTTACCGACGCCTCTTCCGGATTTCCTTTCTATTTGGTGCACAAATATTTATATTTCTTCCTCATAACTTACTTTAAATAAAACAAAATACAAAGAATCTAAATCGGAAATTGTTTTTAATAATAACAATTTAAAGTCGGTTTATTTTTATTACAGAAATCATTAAAAAACCTTATTACATATTGATGTCTTCTACAAAATTGACACCTAATATTCTTTTCCAAGTTCATGGTGTTTATTTTTACTCATTTGAAGTCCTTGCCGAGATCAAACAGGCTGATATAAATGATCGAAATATGGTATCGCATCATATTTCAATTAAACGTGATCTTCTTCTTTCTCCTCCCCTTCACCGCGATGGGGTCAGCACCTCATGTGAATCATGTTGATAATGGTATTGGTTAGATTAGGCTACCCACGACTTAATAGATAAGAGCAAAGTATTCAATACCAAAGCCTCACTGAAGACTGGCGTGAAATGAAAGTATTGTATTTTGTGTTTTGGGGTAACCGGGATGACACTTTTTCAAAGTTGGTAACGTATCTTTGACACCAAGTTGTAAATGTTAATGGTTGAAATTGTATATTTCAAGGAGGTGTAAATGACCATAGGCGAAGGAATCACTTAACATGAGGTGAACCCTTAGCTAGCTCATTAAGTTCTCAGATAAAAAAATAATGGCGGTCATATTGTGTTTGCAGCACTTCATTGGGTACATTTTCAGAAAAACTGCTCTTTCTTTTTATGCCCATTTAAAACTTTCAGGCACCTCAGCCGCCGGAGCCATGGAAAGGAATAAGAAAAGCAACGGAACACGGACCGGTTTGCATCCAATTCGATATTTTCAAAAACCAATTTATACCCGGAACGGAAGATTGCCTCTATTTGAATGTTTACACACCAAACCTTAAACCGAAAAACTTGTTGCCCGTCATGTTTTTTATACACGGCGGAGGCTACAAAAGTGGCTCAGGGAACGTCGACTTCTACGGACCCGACTTCCTTGTTGCTCAGGACGTGGTCGTTGTAACTATTAACTACAGGCTCGAAGTGTTGGGATTTCTCTGCTTGGAGACGAAAGAAGTACCCGGTAATGCCGGATTAAAGGATCAAGTGGCTGCTCTGAGGTGGGTGAACAGAAATATTAGCAACTTCGGCGGTGATCCAGAGAACGTTACCATCTTCGGTGAGAGCGCAGGGGGCGCAGCCACCGCACTCCACGTCTTATCGCCAATGTCGAAAGGGCTCTTTAAGAGAGCAATATCAATGAGTGGTGTACCGTTCTGCGATTGGTCTATCCCATTCGAACCCAAACGACGTGCTTTTGTTCTCGGAAAGCAACTCGGTCTAGTAACTACAAATACAGAGCAGCTCCTAGAGTTTCTTGAAAATGTTCCGATTGAAAAACTTGTTGACACTAATCCAAGTTTACTGACTTCCGAAGATAGAAACATTCCATGGAAAATGTTTCATTTCACACCAGTTGTGGAAAAAGATTTCGGTCACGATCATTTTCTCACGGAAGATCCGGAAGAAGCAATGAAAAAGGGCTGCGTAAATGATATAGATCTAATGATTGGATATACAAGTGAGGAAGGTTTAGCTGCTCTACCATTAATGTCAGAAAGCAGCTTAATCAAATTCTATGATAGTTACTACGAATCATTCGTACCGCGTAAAATTTTACTAAAGACTACTCCGGAAGTAATCCCACAAATATCAGAACAACTCTATAAATATTACTTTGGAGAAAAGCCGATCGGCATTGATTCCATAAAAGAGATTTGCCAGTTTCTTTCTCATTCGTGCTTTTGTATGGATATACACAAGTACATAAATCTGTTACCCAAAACTGGAATAAAGAAGTACATGTACAAATTCTCTTGCATTTCGGAGAGAACTATTTTTGGCAATCATGGCGCTAAGTACGGTTTGGCAGGTGCGGGCCATCTCGATGATCTAATGCATTTGTTCGACCCGAAGCAATATAATCTACCAGTGGACACAGAGAGCTCGACATACAAAATGATTTTACAAACATGTGCCCTCTTTACCAACTTTGCGAAATTTGGGTAAGTGAATATAGTAAACAAAAAAAAATAAATTATTTTAGTGGCTAGAGCGTTTAGACGAGCGATCCCAAAAGGCGCAGGTATAAATCCCGGCAATGGCAAAAATTTCGGAAAGCTGTATCTACGCATTTATAAGTTTCATCGATCAAGAGTTAAGGAGTTCAAAGACTTATGGGGCATTCCAAATGAAGCGGACAGGGAATAAGGAAGTGATGAGGTTGGAGAGTGAGGATGCCTATTAGCTATTTTAAAAATAAGTCAAAAAAGCAACATTAAATTAAAAAAAAGTTACTATTAAAAAACGATTAAACACTGGTCATTTATAAAATTAAAAACAACAGTTATCAGTCCAAATTTAACAATGCGTGAGGAAAAACGATATGATTTAAATATTTTTTTGAGATCTTTTCCATTTAAATGCCTTAAAAACAAAAAACTTATGAAACTTAGCTAGCAGATTATTTTAAAAACGTAGCAGTTTTCTCAATTCGTCAACAAACTGCATAAAAACTAGGATCTTATGTCAATGAAACTGAAAAAAAAATTAACGGTGGTAGGGCCACGCAGCAGCTTCGGCTGTTGCACGAATGGGCAGGCCCCTGTTCGGATAAGTACCACGACCTCACAGAAGACCAGCGTAAAGTGGAAGTATGTCAAATACTTTCGCGTTTCGTCTGGGGAGTGAGGTAGCCGGAGCCCAATTTTCAAAAGGTTGTCAACGCATCTGTAACCCTTGAGTGTGGCAGATGTCTATGGGTGGCGGTTTTCACTTAACATCAGGTGAACCGTCTGCTCGTTTGACAACTTTTCGCATAAAAAAAAATTAGCATTCATATTCAATATAACGATAAAGTCGTTCTTTAAATTTTCTACAAAATTCATGAAAAACAGTAGCCAATGTAAAAAAAACAAAAAGAATTGTATCAGTTCAGAAGTAATAGAAATTAATAATAAGTAACAATTAAGATTGAAGTTCATTCTCGAAATGACTTCCTCTATTGCGTGGGCAAAGTCGCATTCCTTTTCCGAGTTGTGACAACGTTGTATACTTCTTGTTTTGAATTCATCCGCGTAAACTAGGGATTTCATGTGGCCTCAGACATAGAAATCAACCGGCGTTTAGTTCGTACTCCTCGCACACCACGCCCTACCTGACGATTAGGGAAATTAGGAAGTCGATGTTGCATTTTTGACTCGTTTTGAGAAATGCTAATAAACATGATATCCCGAAAATGGTTAGCTTTTGAATAATGCATATTTGGGTGAAAACTCTAAATCATTAACTTAATTTTCAACTATAAAAATATTTTGTTATATGACATAATCAAATATTACTTAAATCGGACACATCATCGTTTTTTTCCTGTCCGCTTAACGTGAAATGCCCCTTATGCGACATATGTTTCTCAATTGTAATTATGACTTTACACAGCGAGACTGAAAATTATCTACAGCACATATTCATTCTTTTTTCAGTAACCCGACTCCTGATTCATCACTGGGAGTGATTTGGCCTGAATGCGTCGCTTCTTCGGGAGATTATCTCAACATAGCAGAAGAGTTAACGGTGGGGACGGGGCTTGATGCCGAATTTGTAGCATTTTGGAACAGTATCTACGAATCGGCAGGATTGACGTACTAGACCAACAGCAGTTGACTAATAAACACATACAAACATATCATGGCTTTTCTTACTTTACGCGTTATTCAGAAACGATACCTCGTCTGTACAGTATGATGGTCATTATCATTTAACTTAGTAAAAATTTATAAACTTTAATAACAAATTTTAATTACGTATTTAATAACAACGGACTAATAATAATAATAAGACTTCAAACAATCCGACACTTCATCAGTACATAATATTATGTTACATTTGGTTACACTGTTCCAAATAAACTAAAAAATAAAATAATATAAAAGTAAAAAAAAAATGGGGAAAGTAAAACAAAAATAAAAGTAAAGGAATTTATAAACGTTGATGTAGTGACGATAAGGACCGTCTCATCACATAATAGGTATATGGTAGTTCTCCCTGAATCCTCTCAGCATGTTATTGGAGGGCTCGGGGGTTTGTGTGTTACGGCGCCTGTAGCGCCACCCGTGGTAGGATCGAAGAAGCCATCTGCCGTTACTATCTATCATCTGTGTATCACGTCATATCCAACCAAACATCAGCACCGCGTATGACGTGATACCGGATCAATCACATTAAAGTACTTAATTTGTAACGTTTTCTTTAGAACTTGCAAAAATTAAATGTATCTCTTACGCTAATTATACACCAGTGAAAACCTACGAGTTGTTTGGAATTTTTATACTCGAATCTTCAACAATGTGATAAAGTGGCAAACGAGCAGGTGTTTCACCTGATTTTAAGTGATAACCGCCGCCCATGGATTAGTGTCATAAATGCCCACGAGACAAGTATGGATTTATAGATCAAACCATTAACTGGACATTGTTTTGCTTTGAGACTTATTAGAAGTAGTTAAATTGCAAGAAAGTAGTTGCGGAGGCTGCACACCTCGCGATTAAGCATAGTGAGGGCGCTTAAAGAGGCCCTCCCGCCATGCTTCCGCGGAGATACATCCTATGACACGACATATTACAAATTTTTCTCATGGGCATTTATGAAAACCATCCATTATTTAATTAATGAACAGATTCCTTGTTGTACAAAGCCACAGACTTATATATCTCAAGTTCGATCTTATTCATTTCGACGAGAAATGTTCGGCTGTGGAAGGGCCACGCGACAGCTTTCACTGTTGCAAAAATGAGCGGCGTAACGTATAAGTGTTGCTCTTATGCGTTTCGTCTGGTGAGTGAGGTAGCCAGGGCCCACTTTATTTAAACGTGGCTACGCATTTGCGACCCTACGGGTTCTGCAAATATCTATGGGCGGCGGTTATTACTTAACATCCGGTGAACCGCCAGCTCGTTTACCACTTTCTCACATGAAAAAATGTACCTTTAGTGTATTCATAGAATATAAATACATTGGTATAAATTTTCATAGTTTTAAATAGTGAAAAATATATAACTGACCCAAAAAAGAACAACACGTTTTTTTGTTATTTCGGCCTTCATATGCTAATATCAGCTTGCGGAACTAATTCTAACGCTACATAAAACTGTTCGTATTTATAATTCTTATTAAATAAATCAATTCTCAGAGACGTCATAGCTCAGTGTCCGGGCGCTCGCCTTTTATTCTATGTACTCGAGCAACCTAAATTCGATCCACGGTGCCAGTGAAACAATAAAATTGTTAATTTTAAGTGCTAACTTTATCACGTGCTCAACGGTGAAGGAAAACATCTTGAGGAAACCTGGATATGATGGAAAAAAAAATTTCGAAGATAATTGTGTGAAGTTCGCCAAATTTTCAAAAGGTTGTCAACGACTCTGTAACCCTCGGGTGTAGCGGATGTCCATGGGCGGCGGTATTCACTTATCATCAGGTGAACTGTCTGCTCGTTTGGCAACTCTTTCAAACTAACACCTAGCCGTTATTTAAACTCAAATAACCAGGGCCCACAAAATCAAAACTTATTTCATTATCGGTTTTTTTAAAGATACGAAACCCTGTATTCAGTAACTTAATCGTAAATATTAATGATAAAAATATCAAAGCTTCCGTCTTCACCACGAAAATTCGTTGTCTTTAGTAAACCTACCTACCGTTTTTGACCACAATTTTGTCTTTCCATTTTTAGCCATAAATGAGGAAAAAAACTTGTTCCACGTCTTTTAACCGCGATTCCAAAATAATTGGTAGTGCCAGCGAATAATTTATCGCATTTAAAAATAATCCAAGACAAATATAATAAGAAATTGATTCGTCATGACATCAGTCCACGTAGAATCGAGTTTAAGAGCGCTTCTCTTCAGAAGAATTATGGTTTGAAGTGCGAATTTTATTTTATTTTATTATTTGCTCGGAGCTTAAAGTATAAACAGTGTAAAAGTTGAAGATATTATATATAATGTTATTGAAGTTTTTGTTTATTTTGCTTTTGGTAAGTGTTTTTATGATTTAAATGATAGCAACGTCAGCCTCTTTATTTATAATACACTATTTAACTAAAAGAAATAACGGGCCGAATATACAATAAAATAACTAATCTTTACACTAAATAACATATCCCAACCGCTTAATGTAATCACTGTTTGATATTACCAATAAAATTCTTGAACAAATTAAGAAACGTTTTCGCATATTTGCCACCGTCTTTACCAAGATGATGCAACTATAGTTACTGTTTTTCCTTATGACGACCGTGAGTGATCTACCTGATTGTTAGCATTGTAGCTGTTTTTAAATACGTCATTTAAAACAATCGCATCCAATTTTTCTCCAGGTGAAGAAGAGCTTCGCAGATATATTGGTGAATGTCGAACAAGGTAATTTACGAGGAGAGCAATTAGAGAGTGTTACAAAAGATACAAAATATTACAGTTTTAAAGGCATACCATATGCAGCACCGCCACTCGGCAAGCTGAGGTTTAAGGTAATTATCTGCGTGCTTGTGCGAAGTTATAACAGATTGGAGACAGGCATTGTGATTTTTTGTGTTTAAAAAAGATATCAATAATCCTTAATGATATTAACTAAATAGAATTTAAAGTGTAAATAAAATAATTAACAATTTCATAAAAAATATAATACATTTTAAATCAATTTTGTGAGTAAAATAGAAGTTTAAGATTCATTGTATTTATTATTGTATATATTCATTGTATATATTGGTGACTCCGTGGCGCAGTCGTCAAGGTATTGGCTTCGGTGTAGGGGGTCGTGGGTTCGATTCCCACATGGGACAACTATTTGTGCCCACAGATAGTTGCTTCGCATCTGGGTTTGTCCAAGTGAAATTTATGTATGTAAAACGTCATTGCAACACAGGATAATGTTATCCTAAAGTGAGGGTAAAAAAAGCCAAGAAAACTGTATAACAAAAATTTGTATTTATTATATTCTTATTCTAACTAAAATAAATACATATTTTCATGATTGATTTTGAGTTATGCGATTAAAATTCTTGCATGATTCAATAATCCGGCATAAAATGTGTCAGTATTACGAGACTAAAATATATAATTTTCTGACCATTAGAGTGAGTGAGTAGATTCAGATATCTAACTCGATGATTTAATATTTTGGAAAGATTCGCATGCTACCATTTGTAACGACCTATTAATAATAATAATAAATATTATTATTAATTAGTCATAATAAATATCAATTAAGATGAAAATAAAACGTTTAAGAACGTTTAATCACAATAAAAGTTAATAATATATACTTAAATTAAAGAAATATAAGTGTTAGTATGAGAAAATGATATTACCAAAAATTGATAAAAAAATAGTTAAAAAATCACTTAAAATACTCAAAAAAGGATATTTATTAAAAATATAGCAAGATACGATCACTATTATGTCCATTAAATACAATTCCATACTTAGTGATTTCTAAGGGAAGTATTATGTACCGTGCGGGGACACATTTGTATGACCGCACATATGTAAGTACAGAGGTCGATCGCGACTCTTAGTACTATAGTCAAAGTACATTGTATGAACGTCCCATACCAATATCATATGGAAGTAAGGTCTAATGGATAAAAGTAATAATATGTGAAGGCTCAGAGAAAAAATAATGAATATATAAATATAATGAAGAGCAATGAATGACTTGGGACTTTATAAGACATATTACTATGGAGTTGCGTGGTACTTCTGTACGACGACATGGTCTACGGTAAACGTAGAACCATGAATGGATATGTCTTCAGTGGTGGACATATCATCGATAGCTGGTGGTAGTTGGCGTCTTAGTGACCATCACTATGATACGTTAGCTGTCATTCGGCATAGTAAGAGTTTGGTGGTAGTTGGCGTCTTAGTGTGTTGCACTATGATACGTCGACTGATCATCTGACTTTGGGGAGTCTGGTGGTGGCTTGCGTCTTAGTGTATTCCACTATGATACGTTGGCTATTACTTGGCTTGGGTGGGGGTCCGTTGGTGGTTGGCGTCTTAGTGTTTACGCTATGATACGTCGACTATCATTCGGATCGTGAAAGAGTATGTTTGGACACTTCGTGTGTTCCGAGTATATTCTAAACTTTGGAGCTGAAGTTGATTGGAGTTGTATTGGTGTGGTTGAGGGTGTGCCACCTACGCGATAGTCACATTGATGCATGCGGCTATATGCAGTAATGCGTCTTGTGGTATTTGCGGGGTGATCTGCGCCTAATATCATTGCATCGTATGATTCTGGTTGACGGAGGTTCGAGGTGATGATGTCTGCTGTGTATGCGGATAGGCTGTATGTTGGCGTGTTGACCTGCGATAGTTGTATTGATGCATGTTGCATTTGGTGACATTGCGTCTTGCGACATTTGCTTGGGAGACGACGCTATTCATAATGGCCGAGTCTGCGTCTCGGTTTGATGCACATCTCAGTAGATTTGTCCAAGTCGGGTTCCTGATGACGGAACTGCAGACTGTCTGACCTCTTTATACGTTTTATCATTATTAACGAATCTCAGTAAAGTTCCCACCGTTCGAACGAATAATGGCAACTTGCTGGTGGGTGAGACAAACTTGATCGAAAATACATTATACTCAACGTCAGAGACACTGACAAACAAATTATATGTTGCCAATTATAAACCCTTCTGATGGCTAAACATAAAAATCACAACTATGGCTATATCTGACTATTTCAATGGTTGGTGGAGCATATGCGTTTACCTCATGTGGATGGTAGCTGGCGGGAGAAAACCTCTCAAGGCTGCGGCGATGCCGTGCAACGTTTTAACCATACCCTTGGGGCTACGCGCTCTGCGACGAAATGTCGTGCTAACCTTTTTAATGGTGGTGATGCCAAAACTAACAATCACGTCTGCAGTCGCGGCGATCTGGCAAAAGTGGTGGCGCTTACGGAGGGCTTATTATATCATAGGGCCAGAGTGCCTGATCTTTAACACATGCCCAAAACCGTATTGACGTACACTCACGAAGACTGGATTTGTCGTCGGCTTGTATGACGTTTACACGCATTGACATGCGCGACTTCGGTCAAAGTTTGTGCTTACGCACTGCCAAGGGGCCAAGCCCTCTTTATGCTGGTAAACAGCTTTGCAATGGACTTCGGTCCTTTCCCCAACTTTTTGTCCCTCTTCTGGGGGGGGGCGCAATATGTTGGTTGGCGCTCACCGCACACGGCGTTGGTGAGTGTTTTCATGGAGCCGTGTGCCTTCCCTACATTTTTTTAAAATGTGGGGGAGCCGTAGACTTGTATCGGGTATGTAAAATTGATGTGAGCCCTTTTCAAGAGAGAAGGGATATTATTTTAAAATTATATTGTGAGCCCTTTACAAGCGTGAGAGGGAGTATACTATATACTCTGAGCCCGTCTCAAGCGAGTCGGGGTTATTTAATAAGAAAGCAATCTAGCATTATCTCTGGCTTATACCACAACTAGTGAATATTTATCTATCCAAGATCCACCTAAAGAATCAAGTTACTAAATAAACACAACGTAAATAAGGTCCTACCGAACATGACGATCACAATAATATTTATACGGCTAATTATTACCTTTAGAAAGATCCTATAGAAAGATCAATAATTTATCCTGGTCACGTAATGATGTTATATGATTTATTCATATAATGGGGCAGAAATATATAATTTTATATAATTATATACACAATAAAGGGGGGGTGCGAGTTACACATTCTACGAATTTTCACTACACTTCCTCAAAAAGAATTTCTCATTGACTTTATTTTAACGAATTATTTCATTTACCATCACGCTCTCACGTTTTGAATTTCCTTCTAGGCACCTGAACCGCCTGTATCGTGGGAGGGAGTGAGAAATGCCACGGAACATGGTTCCGTTTGTATTCAGTACGACATAGTCCTCGAGCAGTTCATAAGCGGTAGCGAGGACTGTCTTTTCCTCAACGTCTATACACCTGAATTGGACCCCAAAGAGCCACTGCCCGTCATGTTCTACATCCACGGTGGAGGCTACATTAGTGGGTCGGGGAACGACGACTTTTACGGACCAGATTTCCTTGTCGATCGCGGAGTCATCCTAGTTACCATAAATTACAGGCTTGAAGTTTTAGGATTTCTTTCACTGGAAACTAAAGAAGTACCCGGAAATGCTGGCGTAAAGGATCAGGTAGCAGCTTTGAAATGGGTTCAGAAAAATATCGCGAAATTTGGCGGTGATCCCAATAGAGTAACTGTGTTTGGAGAAAGCGCTGGCGCCTCGTGCACTGGCTTCCATATTGTGTCACCGATGAGTAAAGGTCTCTTTAGAAGAGCCATTGCAATGAGCGGTGTGCCACTCGCCGATAATTCTATCTCTTTCGAACCACAAAAGCGTGCTTTTGCTCTCGGGAAACAGTTGGGCATGGACACCGACGATCCCGATAAGCTACTTGAATTCCTCCAAATCATTAACGCCCAAAACTTAACCAAAACTAACCCGTTTCTAACGTCATTTGAAGAATTAAACGCGAACCCTTTCAAGCAGGTATATTTTGTACCAGTCGTTGAAAAAGATTTCGGTCAAGAGAGATTTTTGACTGAAGATCCTTTGGAATCATTGGACAGTGGACACATCAACGACGCTGATGTGATGATGGGATACACAAACCAGGAAGCACTCATAGCCCTGATTCGATTCAATAACAAAGATTTAAAGAAACTTGATCGTTATCGCGAATTATTGGTTCCAAGAAAGATTTTGACTACATCCACACCATCAATTTCCTTAGGAGTAGCAAATATTATTAGAAAACATTATTTCGGTAACAAAAAAGTCAGTGAAGAGACCATACAGGGATATGTAAAGTATTTAAATGAAGGCATCTTTAAACACAATGTTCACAGATTCATCAAACGCCTTCCTGAAAATGCAAACACTACCAAGTATCTGTATCAATTCTCCAGTGTGTCGGAGAGAAATCTCTTCGGTCTTCTTGGCTCTAAATTTGGTCTATCCGGAGCTGCACATCTCGACGACATTTTTTATGTATTCAACGTAAAACTTTTCCCTTTTACGATTGATAAAACGAAAAAATCGTACGAAATGATTGACCAGATTTGTAATTTGTTCACGAAATTCGCTAAGTACGGGTGAGTAGGATTCAACCTACAATATTTAATTACTTACAACATAACGTCTCATGATACGCCAATGATATAATATTTTTTTGCCTGCCCATACATGCATAAGCAAAGCCTGCAGCGTGGCCCTACCACAGTTTTAAATATTTCGATAATAAATTAAATTGTTAATTCTTTGGATATCGTAATTTAGAAAGCATACCCTTTCGAAATATTGTATATTAAAAAATTGTATATTATTTTAAATAATTTAGATAGGATATGTTGCAAATATTTTCGCACAAAGGTACACGAAGATTAAATTTTTCGTGCATACAGTTTTAATGACGGCCGTCGGTGAAACAGTGGTCCTGCTTCTACGGAGCGGAGCCTGCCGCTCTGTTATCGGCAACAGAAAATCGTTACCATGAACGAGCGAAATTGTAAGAAACAGTGTGCTTTTTCTCCGCAAATAAAAAACGGCTACATACCTCGCCAATATAATAGCTTAGGTGTTAAAACATTGACATGAAGAACTGAACATTTATCAGGAACCTATATTTTCAACAAAAATATTTTTCAAAGTATTTATAGCGTAGCAGAAAATCTAGAATTTGTATGCAAATATTTTCCTATCAATCTGATAGTATAAAAGCGAAAGTCTCACCTTTTTCTAAGGGCCGTAGATATTTTCATAGTTGCAGAAATATGTATGTATAATACAAATACTTCTGCCATTGAATAAGCAAATGGTTTAAAAATATTATTTTACTTTCGTCTCATATTAGTCTTCTAAATTATTTGTACACGGTTATCTACGAAGAGCCGTGATAGCTCATTGTCCGGGCGCTCGCCTTTAATTCAGTAGTACCTAGAGGACCGAGCTTTGCCCGGTATTTTTTTTTGGTAAATTATGTATTTTGGAAATAAAAAAAATAAAGAAAATGATCTGAAAAAAAAAGCAAAAAAATAAGTGTAAGTGAATACGAACCACGGCCGTCTGTTTTGGGGCCGCCCGATTACCGACCGAGCTATTATAACATTTTATTTTGCGGCGAAATTTACTGTCATATTCGAATGATATTTTTTCATTCCCTGAAAACAGGGATAAAAGGACATTTTCTAAAAATGAAACCTAGCTAGATCGATTTTTCGCCCCCGAATCAACGCATATACTAAATTTCATGAAAATCGCTGGGGCCGATTCCAAGATTCCGATTATATAATATATATATATATATACAAGAATTGCTCGTTTAAAGGATAAAGATACTCGAGCAACCTGAGTTCGATCCCCGGTGCCGGCACCATTGAACTTTAAGTGCTGACTTATCACGTGCTCCGCGGTGAACGAAAACATCGTGAGGAAACCTTCATATTTTCGAAATAATAACAAATATATACATATATATATATATATATTTCGAAGATATGTAAAGTCCGCCAATCCGCATTGAGGCCGCGTGGTGGACTATACCTGACACCCTCTGTATAGAAGAGGCCTTTAGCCCAGCAGTGGAACATGTATAGGCTGTTATTTTACTTTTTACTTTTCGGTTACTATTCCTATTTCTAATTGAAGAAGTATTTTTATTATTTATTAATATTGTACCTAGTACATAATTCGTATATATAAACTGCTATTATATTAACTACTTAACCGTATTACGACAAATAATAGACTTGTCGGTTTTTGTCAAACTTGCGATGTTTCTTCTTTACAGAAATCCTACACCAGACTCGTCGCTTGGTGTTATCTGGCCTCAATACAATAACACTAGCAAAAATTACATGGAAATTGGAGAAAAAATAACAACCGGCGAAAATCTGGACGCTTCTTCCTTAGAGTTCTGGAAGACTGTGTACGATTACGCTGGATTAGAATTTTAGAATGTAATACTATCAATAAGAAAGAATAATATTTGTATAATTTCCAGTTTTATAAATAAACTTAGAAAACTAAGAGTCTGTGAGTTATTAAAATACTACCAGTGACACGTACGTGACAGTTTTTAGAACTGGCCAGGTACAAACAACATAAACTGATGAAAACTTCTTAAAGAAGAGAAGATTAAGACTCGCTCCAATCTACTTATTCCGCAAAAAAAATATTAATGTTAGTTTCTGTTCGAATTCTATGTCGCGGTGAGCCAGAATCACGACGGGCAAAAACGTATCCGTCTCGCGTCCAAACATATTCCATCCTTTGCGCCGTCCTTCTTCCCGTGCTTTATAAAACAATTGCCTTTTAAGTGAAATAAGTCGCTCATTAACATAAAATCGGCACGGCTCGGCGTTTAAGTTCAAACCAACGGTATCCGCACCTCGTCGAGCGAGACGGACAAGCAACGGACACGGCCTCGGTTGTCGCTGCTACCTGGTATTGGTGCCCGGCGCATGCTCATACGTCTCGCAATTACCACATCGTGCTCATCCAATTCAGTGCCTATTTTGGCCGCAAGCAAAGTGACGAAGTGCAAGGGGTTTTCACCCTTAAGTTCTGTTACACCAGATATCTCGATGTCATTTAAAAGCAATTCCTGATCACGCTCATTAAGTCGACACTTTAACTCCGTTATGCTTTTTTCGACATTGTACCCTCCAGGTGGGCTAGGTATATCCATCGCCTGCTGCTCAAGATATGTGACCCTCTTTTCGACGTCGGTGACCTTGTTACTTAGTTCACTAACATTGGAGTTAATGTTAGCGATTTCTAGGCGAAAAGATACCATTTCACGGGCAATAGTAATTAACTGCTCGCGTATCAATTTTAACTCGTTTGCTAAGTCAACCTTGTCTTCACAGCACCCTCCCTAGTTGGCTCCAGGCTGTGCGTCACCGAATTCAGTATCCGTGCCACCGGAGCTACTGTTCGTGTAGTATATATATTAGGCGTAACAGATACATGATTTGTTTTACTACCGCTACATTGCCATTTACTTGATGCACGGCCGTCAATAGGAATACCAACCAGCACATTTGCGATGAAATAAATTCATGCAACTTAGGCATTTTGCTGAATCCATCGTAGAAGCAAATCTTCCGCAGGTACCACACTTATTTGCCATTTTATCGGAAAGTACCTTTAGTTTATTGCAAGGCCAAGAGATGTCACTGCACAGTGTTTATTATTAGGTATGTACTTTTGAAAATTAATTATTTTAGGTCTTGTTACCTTGCTTAATTTCACAGCTGTTTTGCAGCGATTCAATATCAAACAGCTGATTGTGTTGTTACGATCAGCTGATTGCTACGCGTTTATCACTAAATATTATGAAATAAAAAATGAGTAAAAATATTTTTAAGTTAAACGGTTTTATTGAAAATAATGATTAAAATGATGTAGACAATGTACTAAAAGCTAAAAAATAATTCGGTAGACCCTATTTTAAAAACGTTGTCAACGCATCTGGAACTCTCGGGTATACGTCCATAGGCGGCGGTATTCACTTAACATCAGGTGAACCGTCTGCTCACTTGGCAACTTTTCACATAAAAAAAAAAACAAAAAAATTAAATCTTTCGGCGTGGGAAATTTCAAAAAATCAAGTCAACCCCTAAATCTAAACGCCATTTACATATTTACCCAGGTTACGCGCATAAATTGTGCTTATTTTTGTACTAGCGTTTTAAAGCCCGCTATTTTGATACCCTTTATATGATACTAGAAGGAATTGGATGAAATTTTTTAAATATTTTTCCTCTTTATTGCCACTTGAAACGCAATTTTGATTATTTTCATAAAACTATGTATCCGTTGATAGCTTTGTTTTGCGGCAAAATTTGATTTGAGTGATTTGTTTTGAGGGCAACTTGCCCTCAAAACTTGCCTAATCTAATGAGATATAATTGATCTAAATCGGTCAAGTCGTTGAGGAGTTATAAGTGGCTTGTAAGTAGACGTCCGGCACACCACCAACGTTCTCATTTATCTTTGATTTTTTTAATGTTAGATAGTGGCAACCGGCTGCGGTTCACCTGATGTTAAGTAATAACCGCCGCCCATGGACATTTGCAACACCCGCAGGGTTGCAAATGTGGAACCTATAAATTAAGTGGACTCCGGCTATCTCACTCACCAGACGAAACGCAGAAGTGTAACACTTCTACTTTACGCCGGTCTTCTGTGAGGTCGTGGTACTTACCCGGACGGACCTACCCATTCGTGCAACAGTGAACACTGTTGCGTGGTCCTACCACAGTTAAATGATGATTGCGCGCCAGAAAATGGATTTTAGTCTGTTAAGGGCCTAATAGACCGCATGTTGCCCCAACGTCTGGTCACGGTACGGGCCGATAACACCTAGTGCCGCAGGAACGGAAAGTATGCAAATATTGGTTCCGTAGCGAACGTGTTAATGTGTTTAAGCGTGGGCGTAGCAAGATGCGTAAGGGACGTCCTTCAACATCTGAAGATCAGGGCGACGCATGACAGAGGAAAATAAGAGGTAGGCAAGGTTAGGCATTAGTATGAGCCAAGTTTAAAAAAAACATTACACGACCATTTAAGTCAGGGAGCTTTGTACCGTATAATATTTGTACCACAAAACCATGTATTGTTGTCGAGAAATGTTAGAAAAGTTCAACGGAGGTGATTCTGATGATGTATCATTATTATCGAATTCATCACAGGTGATGCAAAGCATCTAGTAATCATTGTTCAAGCTGTATGTATGAATTTGTTTTGTTATTTAAGTGACAATTATGTAAGAGTGCATTGTGTCGCCGATAAATTGTTTTCACAATTTGGCGAATAAAATTTTTTATTTAGTATTGTTCACTTAATAAATAAAAAAATAAAATATAGACCATAACCATTATCATCCTTCTAATAAAATCCCTCTGAAATAAAGTATAATTAACATCCTTCCAGTAACATTTCATTTTATCCTCCTGAAAAAGGGTATTTCATCCTTCCAATAATCAATCTCTTAAGCACACAAATTTCCCTTCTATTGGATCTCCAATAATTTTTACTTGTCAGCGAGGCTTTGTCTCAATTTAACAATAAAGAGTGATATACTTAACATGATTTTGTTTCTTCATGCTATTATCAATCTCTATCAATGTTACTTATACTACTCGTACTCGTAGCATCATTATTTATAACATCTTTTTCGCCTTCTGCCTCACATTCACTAACATTAGTCACATCTTTACTCATATCATTACCACCACTCATGTCATTATCTTCATCGGAACTTTCATCATCATCAGATCTTTTGAAATTTAACCAAGGATGTATCCTTTCGACTGGATGTACACCTCTATAAATAGCTTTACCTTTACGTCTATTAATGAGAGTATCTTCTACGGTATATCTATCGTTACTCATTACTTCTAATTTTATACGGTCCTAGACATTTAAATTTTTTATAGTGCTAATCTTTGCATTTAAGAAACATTAATCATACTCTATTTCAGATAATTTTTTCTACAAATCTTAACTCATTTTTTCTACAAATTTTAACGGTCCTAGACATTTCGATATTAATTTTTTAACGAAATAGACCTTTCTACTCTAACCAAATCTCCTACTCTAAATTTCGGCGGGTCGCACCTAACCTTATCGCATCGTTCCTTTTGTTCTTGTTGTGTTTTAGTTATATGCTCATCTACCTTCATCCTTATGTTTTCTAAATTATTCGTTCTGTCATCTCGTTCCTCATCATTATGTAATGTTGAACCTAACCTTCCTTCAGCCATGCTAGTTAAATTTAACCCGAATAATACCTCTGCAGGCGTACGCCCTATTCCCTTGTTAGTTAGACATCTAATACCTTACAGTCCCAATATAGTTTATCAAAAAAATTAAATGCCTTTATTTAATATAGAAGCATTACACTTTCTTATTGATTGTCAAAACGCTACCACCGGTTCGGAAAGAAAAGCCAGACAAACAGATCTGAGAAGAACCGGCGAAAGAAACTCAACGGGACTTTCTTTTTTTTTATACCATTGTTTATCGAATAAAGAAATGTTTACAAATGTATTAAAGTAAACTTGAAAGAGCCTGGAGCGATCACTTCATTTCCAGGGTGTGTTATCATTTAAATAATCACTAACATTATAATAGTCTTTAACACACAAACTTTCCTTTACAATTTTTTTGAATATAGAAATTGATACATTGTGAACGTTTTCCGGGATTTTGTTGTAAAAACGTACACATTGTCCCATAAAAGAATTAGTTATTCTACGCAGTCTGGTTGCGACCATAGTTCATTGCCGTTAAGGAATCTAAAACAGTCCTAATCTAGTTCGTCACGACCCTAGTTCATTGCCGTTAAGGAATCTAAAATCGTACGCTTATACTTCTCCACTTGCCCATTTGCTCGTGGAGTGGCGACCGCATTCATTATGTGATTCACACCTACATCTTGCAAAAAAAAAATCGAACTTCCTACCCGTAAAAGTAAAGTACCTATCGGTTATCAATCTAACAGGACATCCAAATGTAGCGAAATACTCTCTAAATACCGTAATCGTTGTAAAAGCTTTAGAGTTTCTTACTGCCCTTAAATTTACTGTACGAGTCAATAATAACCAGTAAATATTTATTTTTACGCTTACTCGCGTTGAATGGACCCAGATGATAAGCATAAAGGGTATCAAATGGTCTAGAGACTTTTGGTACTGGTGTAAGTAGCCGGATTCCTTTCGTGATGGAGTCTTACTATGCACATTCTAAGCAGGATTGAACATACTTTTTTACAAATTATTCATTTTAGGAAACCAGTAAGTCTCCCTTGTTTTATTAATAGTTTTTTCCACGGGAAAAACGTCCAATGTCGTCATGAAAGGCCTACAAAATATGCCACCTTACACCCTTTGGCACCAACCACCTGTTCCCACTATCAGTTATTTTAAAAACACTGCCATTCTTTACGCAAAAATTCCGTTTTATACCTACTACGTTATTGCTATCAGGGTCTAGTAGCACATTTTTGATGCGTTCTATTTCACTATCAGCAGATTGAACAGTTTTTAACCAATCGTTGGAAATAGTGAAGATTTCCGGCAAACCTGAATCGATTTTCTCCAAACTATTGTCTACTAAAGAATTCCGACTCAGTGCATCTACATGACACATGCCCTTATAAGCTTTATACTTCACATCACAATCTAACTCCTGTATCAGGCTCCACCAACGAGTGACCCTTGAAATCATATCCCTTTTTATAAATGTAGCGCGCAGAGAGTTACAATCAGTAACAATAGTAAACGGCATTCCTGTTTTTTTTTTTTTTTGGAAAAACTTTAAAATACATGAAAATTTAAAGAAACATTTATTTAAGGGCTTCAACGCGAGCGAAGCCGCGACCGAAAAGCTAGTAGTGTATATGCCTTCCTCTATTCGTATTTCTTTACCTGTTTGAACCCTGTAACTACTACTAACATATATATCTCCATCAAAACTAGAGCCGCATTCTACTTCTACTAAATCAGTCCTTTTAACCGTAATGTAACTCACTATTCTCAATCGTAAAAGTCTTCTCAATACCGTATCTACGTCATAACTGCTCCTAAATAATAAATCCTGTTAATAATAATTCTCTGTTTTAATATTTTAATGTGAGGTTGTTCAGTAAATGTCTGAACAATTAATAACGGATACTTAAGAAATGTATCTGGAACTACAACGCATACAACTTTAGCTCTCACCTTTTGAGTACGTCTACCATACATGAACCTATTGAATTAACAATCGCACCTCCAAATCCGACCATTGGATGATTAAAGTTTGTGTCAAATCGGTTAAATATCCTTATAGCCGCAAAACAAGTCTAATCTTGCCCATTTACTAATAATTAATTAAATAATTCTCTATAAGTATTTGTTTGACCTATTATCCCCTAGTGATTCATTAATAAGCATTACGGATTTATTTTCATAGTCACTTTCGCATCTCGAAAGGAAACATTCTAACTCAGTGTGCCCGACTGGAGAGGATTTTGTGCACTTTTCGATTGGCATAGGACACTTAGACAACGGATGCCCTTCTTGCTTACAATTATAACAACGAATACTGACAGATTTACTTGGGACGTTTGTAAAATTGTTAGGCTTTGACTCCCGAGTCTGTCTATTTATTGTATTAAAATTCCTATCAGTTCCTGCTTTTACATTGCGTAATTACGCTAAGAGCTTATCCGTATCATTAAATTGTGCTGCTTCAGCTCCAAGACGCAACGACCTGTCATCGATACCAAAAATACACTCCGCAGTCTTGCCAGTGATATCACACAGATTCAAAAGGCCAACCTTTTCGTAATAGTTTTCTTCGAGTGACTCACCAATCCTAACCATTTTTTCCAGCATATCCGTTACCATTAGATCATAATTCTCATCCGAAGGGAAGGCGGATTTAAGTTTGGTCTGCCACTCGATCCAAGGAAATAAAAAGTGTAGGTAACCCTTCGTACAAATTTTGCGATACATCGACTAATTTCGGCAGTGTTTAATGCACAGTTTGTCGCTCAGTCCACCCATACAATTAAGCACATTCATTCACTTTTGTCAGCTAATTATTAATGCTTTGATTTTTTAATGAAGGGTCAAACTCAGGTACAACATTGACATTAGAAAAGTTCTTCTTACTACTGTGACTTCGTTGAAAATTATTAAGTAGTTTAGTAAATTAAGTCATGAACTCACGCGAAGTGTAGTCTGATTTTGGGGATATCCGTCGTCCATAATTGGGTGGACTGTACCCGCATGATTGCTCCCTGGTCTTGCTGCGGCGGCGACATGTTGCCCTGGGTGGAATTTGTCCCCGCGTGTTCGCTCCCTGGTCTTGCTGCGGCGGCGAGATGTTGCTCTCGACCTACTGCTGCATCGAGATGCCCGCTGACAGTCGTAGTATGCCCTAGCTTCATCTTCCGTTTGATGAGAGTAGATGTAGCGACTGCGCCTTCTTGCTAGATTTCCTGTTGTACAGTGATCTAGCCTTGCCGTTGGTGAACGCCTTCTTTTTTTTACGCTGTGATGGACTTCGTAGAACGCGTCGAGGAGTGCGTGCCTTGCTGCGCCCACGATCAACACTGGTAGTCGACAGCTGCTGAGAAGTCTGCTCAACTCCCACTGCTGGTTGTCCATCATTGTCTATCCATGTTTATCTGAAAAATGCAAGTTCTTCGGACATAAAAATTCATGATGACTCCGTGGCGCGGTTACCAAGGTATTGGCTTCGGCGTCGGGGGTCGTGGGTTCGATTCCCACACGGGACAACTATTTGTGCGACCCACGGATAGTTGTTTCGCATCTGGGTGTTTGTCCTCGTGCAATTTATGTTTGTAAAACGTCCTTACAACACAGGCTAATGTTATCCCAAAGTGAGGGCAATGTTTTAAAAAAAAATGACGGTATAATTATAATCATGCACAGCCAGAGTAGCTCTTTTGTCACACCATCAGTAACCTTGCTCGGTAGAGCAATATTAATAAGAACTTTACTTAACAAATTTGCATGTTACATGCAAAACATATCCAAGGAGTAACCCCGACTATATATTTTGCAGCAAAGTTAAAAATGGAAGAGCCAAGGAGTAGCCTTCGCCATGCTCCATTAAAAACCTCTCTCGTAGTACACAGTTATGAAAATATTAGTACAAAAAAAAGGTCCCAAATTACGTGCCGAAAATAAAGGGCTTATCTTATGAATCTATTTCAATGCGATTGTTAAATTCAATAAATAAATACTCACTTCCCTCTTTTTTTCTTTTTTATTGTAGGTATAAAATTAATTAAAATTTTGCCTTAGCCATGTGCTGCCACGTAATCGATTAAAATAAACTAACAAACTAAATCATGCAATTATCTATATATTGCGGAATAAACTTATAAAAGGAAAAGAAACGGCTTACGTACCTTCGATCCTACTTCTGACTTGTAAACAATGTTAATATTTTCCTTCGAAAACGCCAAAGTTGTAAAATAAAACCACTGTATACTTGTAATCGTCTATTTTATAATAGTTAATTGTTAATCTAGTACAAAATGATAAGGTAAGAGCGCTTAGCTTAGTATGTCTTGACTTCACTAAGGGTCACAGCTGAATGCCGTGTCCCGCCTGCTGTCGGTTTCTTGAAAGTGTCACCTACCCGCCTCACAAGCTTTTAACCAATGAATACGAGGCGACATTGGCGGGAAACCGATATTTAGTCAATCAAATTACATATTACCTTAACAAAAATATTAAAAACAATCAATTTAAACTAGATAATTAAGTTTAAATTTAGTGTTTAATATAAAATAATTACGACCTTAGGAGATGGAAAATACTTTAAATTAATTATTTATCAAATCGACTAACAAATAGCTTACAACCTATAGGTTGCAGTAGTGTTCTCCGAATGCTCACCACCGATTAACATGGTTTCCACATGTTTAAAGTTTCAAGTGTACCGACTAAATATTGAAGGAAATTCAAAATAATATTATAAGTGTTAAAAATGATCTACCGCCGATTCAAATTCAGTCTTGCCAAGAAAAATTCAAACAGGCAACTTGATGGCAAAACATTGATTATGATTATTGATTCTTTTAATATTTTTATTTCCAAAGAATCTTTTATTTGTGACTTTTCTAATATTTGATTATTATACTGTTACGATTACCGGGTTAGCAAATTTTTTGATTGTCTCAACGTGCCGTCTTGACAGTTTCGAATGAAACACCTTTTTATGTAAGAACGTGGTAAACGAAATGACAATTCACTTGATGTTAAGTGATAACCACCTTAGGGTTGCAGATGTATTGGCAAATTTTAATCAAATGATCGAAATGAAATTTCAATTCCATTTTTATATTGTTAAATTATAATAAAGTTAAAGTTAAAATAAGTTAAGAGTCGTGATAGCTCCGTGTCCGGGCGCTCGCCTTTCATTTAATATACTCGAGCAACCTGAGTTCGTTGTGAAGTTTTTAACTCTAAGACTTATCACGTGCTCCGCGGTGAAGGAAAACATCGTGAGGAAACCTGCATATTTTCGAAATAATAACAAAAAAAATATATTTCGGAAATATGTGATGTCCGCCAATCGGCAGTGGGGCCGCATGGTGGACTATGCCCTGATACCCTCTGTATAGAAGAGGCCTTTGCCCAGCAGTGGGACATGTATAGGCTGTTACTTTACTTTACAAATTAAGTTTCCTAGTACTTATTGTAATTAAACGTCAAATTTTACGACTGATTCAAATTAAAACTTGCAAGTCTTTATAGAGAAGATCCCGCGGAGAACTCTAATATGGAATATTGATATTTTTTTAAAAGTTAAATATGGTTAATTAAAATATTATAAAATTTAAGGGTGCAAATGTAAAAGTTTTATATGAATTTCCAAGCAGAAAAAAACTAAAATGTATATTGTAATATTTAGAGAATTTTCACCGCGACGATTGGATATCCATCATATTTGGCAACACACGAATATGTGATAAGACGAATATTTATATACACATGAGTATTACGTATACCGTGTTAGTTTTACGGAATCTTCGTTCAACGCAACATGTGACTGTAACCGTGATTTTTCATTTCTAGTATTCAGTGATTTTATGTTTACTATTTGATTACTTAATGCAATAAAACATAACGACAGTAAGTATGGTCTCTAACATTGATAAATCCTTATTGTTAAGATATTTTATTAACCGACTTCAAAAAAGAAGGAGGTTTCTCAATTCGACCGTATATATTTTTATTTTTTTTTATGTGTGTTCGCGGATAACTTCGTCATTTCTGAACCGATTTTGATGATTCTTTTTTTGAGCCGTGATAGCTCAGTGTCCGGGCGCTCGCCTTTAATTCAATATACTCGAGCAACCTGAGTTCGATCCTCCGGTGCCGGCACCAATGAAGTTTTTAAATTTAAGTGCTGACTTATCACGTGCTCCGCGGTGAAGGAAAACATCGTGAGGAAATCTGCATATTTTCGAAATAATAACAAAAAAAATATTTCGTAGATCTGTGAAGTCCGCCAATCCGCAGCGGGGCCGCGTGGTGGACATGTATAGGCTGTTACTCTACTTTTACTTTAATTTTTTTTGTTGGAAAGGAGATATTCCTAGGATGTATTCCTGTGATTCCTAGTACCATGATAAGGAAACCCGGATCTGATGATGGCATCTCAGAGAAATCAAGGGCAATCCTCAAATGTCATAGGTGTTGACAATGTTTTTAGTTTCCTGTTTGAAGTCGTTTTTTTTGTTCAAAATTATTTTATGACATAACTCATAGATATTAATTTACTTGTAAATGTACATTGGGATTACATTGTTTGTCAAATGTCAATTGCGTAGAATTCGGTTATCCACTATTTATCTTTATTAATTTTTTTTAAAGTAACTGTTTATTATGTATTTGAAATTTGTAAAGACATAATTCAATTCCGGGTTATTAAGTCTTCTTTTCATTGCAGTTTTTTTCTAAATAAGTTCATATGATGTATGTGTATACACCCGTATAATTCACTGTCATCGTAAAGTTCTACAATTAAGGATAATCACATCATTTGCGATTATTACTCCTGTACTGACAGTTTACGTAATGATGACGATGCATATATACAATACCCTTGACTATAAACTACTATCTATATACTCTTTAATGTGATCACATGAGTTTCACAGTCATGAAACATGAGTTTTTAAAATCTAAATACTAGTTATACTAGTATTTAGATTTTAAAAACTCATGTTTTTGACTCTACAGGATGAAATATAAAAGATTCAAATAAATTCATAATGTAATAAATGGAAGTTATTATATCTAAACAAATCTTTTTTACAATAATGTGTGATACATTGTTTAATATATTAACTGTAATAGAGTTTTTATGGGTTTAATTTTAATTTAAATTTCTCACTGTGGTCGAGCGTATCGGCGTACACTTTAGGTAAAGTACCCGTGATACGCACTTACATTCGTAGTACTCACAGAATACAAGCATGAAATAATGGTATTATACTTCCGCTTTTCATGTGGTGAGTTAGGTAGCCGGGGCCCATTTTTTGATGGTTGGCAGCATCTGCAACCCGTCAGGTATAGTTAATAGTTAATGTCATCAGGTGAACAGCATGCTAGCTTGCCAACTTTTCACATAAAAAAATTCTGGACGCTTTGAATTTGAATGTTCGTTCATGGTTACATTGATTCACATGACATTACGCAACAGTGCTGTCCGGGCTACCGTATTTCTGAATGGTGCCAGTTTAATAGCATACAACCAAAACGAGATCTACTTTAAAAGTTCCGCAGGAGAACTAATTTTATAACCACACGCGTATAAAAGCAAATACTACAAAAACGCCTTTACAGTCAAGGCCACCTGCTTGTGGAATGAACTTCCTCAGCAAATTCGTCGTGCAAAGACGCTAGACAAATTTAAAAATGACGTCAAGAATTATTATCTTTCCCTCTGTAATCCATAGGTAACATTGAAAATATTAATGTATAATATTTTACTTTCATATATGTTAATTATATATTTATTTATGTTTATGTATGTTTATTATAGTTTATTTTGTTATTATTAAGTAAGTTTATTAAGCATACCACCTCCCTCTATTCATAAGTTTAATTTTCCTTGTCCTAAGGTTGTCTGGAAGAGATCGCTCTTTAGCGATAAGACAGCCTTATTGTACCTAGCTTTTAAGATTTATTTTATATCAACTGTATAAAACTTTTTGTGGTGTACAAAGTGTATAAACTGTACATAATAATAATAAATGATTAGATAAATTATGATATTCTTGATACCAATTTTAAGAGATGACGCATGTTCGAGTTAACGAAGGGGTATTGGAAGGCGAATTAGTAAATAATGAAATTGGCGGCCAATTTTATAGTTTTAAAGGAATTCCATATGCGGAAGCACCAGTTGGAGATCTCAGATTTAAGGTAACTAGACCGTAATGAATTAAGTTTGTGTGATGCTCTTTCTTACAACTGCAACACCTTAACGAATTGAATTGATATGCAATCCGGAACGGAGAAATTTCATAATCCAGATTAAGACATAATATAGATCGTTTTATATGACCATTTTTAAGAACCTACAAAGCCACCGGCAAAAGCTATTCTATAATCAAAATTAATGGGCATCTTAGAATTAGAAGTTAAATCGATGTTGGCTTTTAATTTAAGCTTCTGTCCTTAAAGTTTTAGATGTCTAATCATCTTCTTTTATAGGCTCCACGGCCACCGAAGCCATGGAAAGGTGTGCGTAGCGCTAAAGAGTTTGGACCCATCTGTCTTCAATACGATATGTTCGTAAACAAAATATGCGACGGCAGCGAAGACTGTCTGTACCTCAACATTTATAGCCCGAATATTAAACCGAAAAACCCTTTGGCGGTAATGGTCTGGATCCACGGAGGGGGATACATAAGTGGTAGTGGGAACGATGACTTCTACGGCCCCGAATTCCTCGTTCGCCACGGGGTCATTCTTGTTACACTCAATTATAGACTTGAAGTCCTAGGTTTTCTCTGTCTAGATTCCGAAGACGTACCAGGTAATGCCGGCATCAAGGACCAAGTGGCTGCATTGCGTTGGATTAAGGAAAATATTCATAACTTTGGTGGTGACCCAAATAATGTTACAATATTTGGTGAAAGTGCCGGCGGAGCATGTGTTTCCTACCACTTGATATCACCAATGAGCAAAGGACTTTTCAGAAGGGCTATCACTCAAAGCGGGTGCTTCGAATGTTATTGGTCGCGAGTTAGCAACCCAAGAGAGAGAGCGAGGTTACTTGCAAGGCAAATGGGTTTGGATTCCAATGATGACAAAGAGTTATATAATTTCTTCAATTCACGACCGGCTGACATGCTTATTTCGAAAAAAGTGGCATTGGCATGGGCAGATGAATACAAAAATGGAATAGGCTTATGTTTCGCCATCGTTAATGAGAAACAGTTCGGTGATAGTGAAAGGTTCTTTTATAGTGATATTGCAGATAATTTAAACAATTTCATTCATGAGGATGTTGAAGTTATTGCTGGGTATACAAAAGATGAAGGTTTATTATCAATGGGCTTGCAATGTGACATCGAAAAAACACTTTATCAAGCGAACTTCATCTCACAATATTTTGTGCCAGGTGTATTAACATTGAAGTGTCCTTTAATAAACCAGTTGGAAGTGGCGTGCAAAATAAAAAAACATTATTTCAATGATAAAATTATAAAGGTGGAAAACTTGGAACCATTGGTTACATTTATATCAATGGATATGTTTGTTTATGGAGTCATAAACTTTGTAAAAAAAATAGCTAAAAGAAAAAAGAACAAAATATACTTGTATAAATTTACCTGCACATCTGAAAGGAATATTATGTCACAGTTGTTTGGAGCTAGTAAAGTTATAAATAAGGAGGAATTAGTTTGTCACGCTGATGACTTGGCGTATCTATTCCCATTGAAAGAATTAACTTTGCCGATAGATATAAATTCTAAGGCCTATAACATGATCAACATAGTCACAAAAATGTGGACGGACTTTGCGAAATCTGGGTAAATATTATTATATATATTTGTCACCATTATAAAATAATTATATGAGTCCTATCATTTTAATCATGGCGAAATAATTTTTCACCTTTTTATTCCTTAAACTACATCCTAAATATCTTTCTTTTTTTTAAAACATTTCCCTTACTTCATATAACATTATCCTGTGTTGAAAGGACGTTTTACAAAAATAAATTTCACGTGGAAAAATTCACAGATACGAAACAATTATCACAAATAGATGTCCCGTTTGGGATCGAACCCACGACTCCCAACGCTGAATACCTTGGTTTGGGCCACGATTTGGTGGTAAATTCACGTTTGCTAGAATGTTTTTTTACCACTGCAATATCTATTTGAGATAATTGGCACTCAAATATGTGTTGGAACTCAAAAAGCTTTCGTCGATTGTACTCGAATAAACATAACAAACAGAAGTACTAAAAATTAACATGGACTTCGCTTTACTAATTTTCATGGGTAATTTTTAGAACGAAAACTGTAATGAATTAGTAATGAGGCAGACAGCCCTTTTTCATAACAAAAATATAGCTTCTTACATTATATTTACAGAAATCCTACGCCTGATTTTAATTCTGATGAAAAATGGATTGCTTACACAACTGAAAACAAAGCATTCCTGGAAATTGGTGAAAGATTGGTCGCACAATCGGCCCCAGAAAAAGAGGATATGCTGTTCTGGGAAACCTTGTTGAAAGAGTATGAGCAGTATTTATGTTAAATGTATTTATTTTTATTTCTCCGCGAATAGCGATTTTGTGTTTATAAAATTTGTCAGTATACTACATCTTTAAACGTGTTGTAAACGTTTTTAGTAAATTTAAATAAAATAAGAAAGATTTTTTTGCTTATTTCTTCTAGTTTAATAAAAACTCCGTAAGTATAGCAACATTAGCTTCAATTTGATTTCGTACTTCCTATGATCTCAATAGCAAACAGTATAAACAAACATCTAACATACAATTTGAACTTAAAATTTAAAGTAACGCAAAATGAGTTTACTAAATGTATCATCTTTCGAATCGATCTGTCGAAGATTTCGCACCATTCAAGATCTGACTGTTAGCTTAGTTGGCTCAGTTTACTAGTGTGGGGATCGTTTTTTTATGTAAGAAAAAGCATAGAGCTAACGGTTCACCTGATGTGAAGTGACAACCGCTGCCCGTATAATGTAGGTGGTAGAAAATGCCATTGGCAACTTGAATATTGCGAGAAAGTTGTGCTAATACGCAGTCAAACGCCCCGTACAAATCGATCCTGTGGTTTGTGAGTACTAGCATATCATCAGTTTGATAGAACCAGTTGTAATGAAGTACAGTCTGAATATTGCACAGAAATAATCGTCATATACTTTCAAAAACACAAACCAAATTGTTCCAGTAGTTAACTAACTGTGACAACACAGTTTGCTGCAGCGATGCTTGAATCTTAGTATCCCCCATATCTTCCGTTTGAGCCAACCGATTGGGATGAAACAAGCCTATATGTTGCCCCGAGCTTAGCTTAAGTAACCAGTGAAAACTGCATCAAAATCCGATCAGTAGTTCTGAAGTTATTAGCGAACAGACAGACAGACAGAAAAAATCCAAAAATGGTTTTTATGTGTCATTTTGTGATACCTCATTTCATTTTTTTTACGAATATATTCCACTCTCGATTATAATCTTTTATTAAAGTATAGATAGACGATTTAAACTGCCCTAAATAGACTAGATTTTTACTTGAAAAGATTTATCTACAAACAGTCTTGTAATTTGGCTGCATGAAAAATATTTTTTAAAACATTCACTCAACTTCCGCCAAAATAAAAATATATTATGTTATCACACACAGTACATTTAAATTTAGCCGCCAAGCCCACAGCACAATGAAAATTCATTGGCATTTCAATGTCAAGCGATTACTTACCACTGCAGTAATATTGTCGTCAACGTAACTTCTTGTTATGCCATAAATATTACTGCCCATCACTTGTTCAAGCGCTCATTATAATTTATGACAAGTTCTTATTAATAGCGACAGCCTCTGCACTCAGATGAAAAATAAAATATACATAGTCACAGTTTTCAGTATTGAGGCATTTGTACCTGCGTCTTCCGGATAACGCTTTATCAACTTAGCTAATGTTATAACATTCATTATACATTCTCACAAACCTACTAATATGGACTATAGTCCATATTAGTAGGTTTGTGAGTCTCGCTCTGTAATTTAACGCCCATTTCATCTAGGGCTCATTTTAGCTCATTTATTCGTGCTCATTTATTTTTGTCTTCAATAGTCTTTGGTAAGTCGGTAGAAAATTCTGCACTTAGATGTACATATCATGAAAAAGTGTAGAAATGTGTATGCGTGGTTAAGATAGATATTAAATAGGCTTTCTTTTTATTAAGAATTGAAACCACTTTACCCAATCTATGTTTTTTTAGTATTGGTTGGGGTAAAACGCGCGTACACCATCTTATTTTAAGATAAAGTCCAAAATGTAAACAAATACATACAGGATTACAGTTGGATTATTATAGACTTGTTTTACATTGTTTTATTATTTATTTTACTAAAGACCTAAAACCTTTTTAACACTTAAAACATCTCTCGCAGTCAGAACAATTTACATACGTACTTACTACAAACTGTACATAGACCTATAAGAGTTCTAACGTTTTTACTTTGATTCTAATATTTTAACTATTCTGAACTTGAATATTAACAACTATTATAACGACAAGCAGCACTATTGGTTATAACACCGTCCGGGTACGCAGCCGAAAAGCAAGTGACCGCTGCTACATACGACCTTGTGTCCTTTGCTCGAGTAGATAATGTCATATCCGGTATTCAGTGTTGCCAGCGACAACAGACCGAGTAATATTTAAAGAATAAGAACCTAAAATAAAGTAAGAAATTCAATTCACCATATGACTCGAATGTAGTAAAGCAAAGTGGCCCAATGAAGTTATAAACACAATCGTACCGTGCGTACATTTTAGGAAACAATTTCTTATTTTTACTAAGGCAAAACCATATTTAACACAAACATTTTAAATAATCATGATATGCTGCTATTCATATTAACATTAAGTCATTTATATAAAATGAGATTTATAGTAAAAATTTTTTTTCTACGACAAAAACTGACGCTGACTAAAACTAAGTTGTGTGAACTTATGACCAAAACTCACGTCACTGTTACGGCCACCATTAAAAGATGGCAAGGCAGCTACAACCCTGCGGGTGTTACAAATGTCGATGGGCGGTGGTTATCACTTAATATAAGTTCAACCACCAGCTCGCTTGCACCTTCTCAATTAAAAAATAAATAATGGATTCATTTTATCAATATTCGCACGCTTACACGTCAATTCTTATAGTGGGGAATAAGTACACGAACAAGAATTATTATTACGTACAAGAGTTCATACTTTACAACAAGGTTATTTTCGATATCGCATTCGTGGTTCGGTGATAACAGACCGGTATATCTACATTAGTCCAAGTTATTCATGTATAAATATAAATTCTTGCTCATGATACGCGATATTAGACACATTAAACATGTATTGTAATATGAAAACAGTTTAAGCATACCTATTTTTGTACATTCGCACTCGCGCGCATTTGTTACGAAAACTCTTTTACTTTTTGTATTAAGATTAAAATATGTTCATCATTACAATGTTTTGTTTTATAAATTTCCAAGTGAAACGATAGGATATTTTAATTACTAGCTTCTGAAACAAGGATCCGCTTTATTTGTGAAATAATATTTAAGTAATTATATTTATCAACGACAGAACAGAAAAAAAACCTGTAAATAGTAAACAGCGCCGAAGCTGTGGCAAGTCGTGACTTTCTACCACGGCACCGGCATGCGTGTTTGTACGCAGTGGCGGATTTACCAACAAGCTAAGCAGGCCTGGGACGGCAAATTTGGCCCAAAATTTTTGTTTTAAGTATATTTTTTTACAGTATTTTTAAGACATATCTTATAATTAGCACATAATTGAGCTTTTTACAGGTAAGAAATTTATTTATTTATTTATTAAGGCTTACCAACTAAATACATACAGAACATTGAAATGTAAATATGTTTAACTTAATACTAAAGTTGTAAACAATATATATGTACATATTTAAATTATAGGTAATCACAAAACTTACAAAATAAACTTGAAATAAAGAACAGAAAACAAGAAAATTGGAAAATTAGAAATTAGAACTTAGCAATATGTAGAGGTTAACTTATTATAAAAAAATAATAAGTTAACCTCTGGTATAAAGAAATATACCTATTATTATGATTGCGAACTGCGGTCGAATTTCAGAGTTGAAGTAGGAGCGGCACAAAACAGCCTATTGGCGGCAAATTTGTAAATCCACCACTGTGTCTACGGCTACCATGTGGCCTCGCTATCTTATTAGATATATGCTAGATGCTAGATTACAAGTTTCTGTGGAATTGAACATCCCACAAACTATTTGGTGCTCCAGAATCACCTCAAGGTAGCATGCCTTGGAAATACCACCAAAGTAACACACACCAAAGTGTTCGCTGTGACACGAATGGGCAAATCCGTCCGGGTTAGTACTACGACCTCACATAAGACAGGCATCAAGGGGAAGTGTTACACTTCTGCGTTTTGTCTGGTGAGTGAGGTAGCCGTACATCTTTGTTAAAAGGTGGCAACGCATTTGCCTACGGGTGTTACAAATGTCCGTGAGCGGCGGTCACCAATTAACATTAGGTGAACCGCCAACTCGTTCGCCACTTTCAATAAAAAAAACCTATACTTATATCTATTTTAGGGGACAGAACAACTTACTGCTAAAAACACTGAATATATAATGTATACGTTTATTGTTTATGTTTTCTACAAATTTTAATATAACGTGTAATGTCTTAATTATAGTTGTGTTTCGACGAAACTAATATCATACAAGAACGTTTAATACAATATCTACATTGCGGTCCAACATTAAGCTTGTGGTTCAAAATGTATGTATGTCACGTAATCACAAACAAAGAGATGGATGCCTACAATAACACACGCGAGCGTTATTATTAAGGCGGTGAGGCGGAATGTAGTTCGTTGCCTTCCAAACGCTTTAAGTGTACACAATTTATGATCGGTACAAAGCAATTTTCCAAATTAAATATCTAAAACAAAACCATGTATAATATAAACTCTGTAGTATAATCGCTCATTTAAATAAAAAACAAAGATTTTTTTTACAAAAAAAATGCCTTTGTATTCCCTAAAAAACAGAACATGTTGACAATGCGGTAGTCATTCATAAATACCTAAATTTTACTGTGCACGAACTTGTGTGTTATGAATGATCGCGCGTAAAATAAATGAGTCGCGTATAAATCACGCACTTTTTGAGATAAGTTCAAATGAATGTAATTAATTACTTACGAGTGATTTTAAATATTTATCATTTTTATATAACATTATTTATTTCTAGCATTAATTAAAAAAATTGATACACTTAGAAAAGCCACCCTGTATATTACATAATGTTATTTATGATATCGTCTACTAACAATCATCATTTGGAAAAACTAAACTGGAAAAGTAAAGTAAGGCCATAGATTACGTTATAATTAATGTGAATATTTAATCTGATTAATAATTCATCAACAATTTATAAGTACATTTTGTAGTAATTCATTTAAAAGTTGTTAATTTGACACCTATGGCGTCACGTGATATT